CCCACCACCACCACCACCACTTCACTATTAAATAACAATTACAGTTGTTTAGCCTCAGGAAACTATTAACAAATATGTCTTCAGCCCTGAATCATAAACTTTTCAACTAACTGTTGACAGATCAAGACAGAACAAACAAAATCAAACCAATTTTTTTTTAATCTGTAATTCTCTGCGAACAAGGTCTTAGACAAGTTTCTAAACATTTATGTTTATCTATTTAAAGTGACAATGATGAAGAGTCAAAAATATTTAAAGGTAAAAAACAAACATATAATAGATACTGAAACTGCACTAGAAAATCACTGGAGAGGAAGTTGAGTGAGTCCTAACGTGAAAGAAAGGCCCTGGTTCAGTTTGCCTTCCCTGCTGTAGATGTGGTGTTTGACGGTGATACCACGGGACACTCGCAGCAATTTAAACATTCATGCATTGCCCAGTCGGAGAACAGGATATTTCACTGGCGTAAAAGCGATGTGACAGCACGAGGCGGGAAGAGCAGGGACAGCCAGTGTCTCAACAAGCCTCACACGGATCCACAACCAGCAGAAGACGCGTGGATGTATTAAAATTGCAGTTGTACAAAGCCGTCGGCTGGAGTCACGAGAACACACTCCTGATTAGTTCTCATATTATTGTGACTCAGTGCATGTACAGACACTAACAAGGTCCTCCCAAGGATGACCTTCAACAGTTTTTCTAAGGACCCACTCACTCTTCTCTGGCTGACAGGCCGTTGGTCAGTGTTAATTACCTTCAGTATCTCCAGCTGCCTGCTCATCAGGTCAGAACCCCCATATGGTCCTCCAGGAGGCAGCAGGCAGGCGAGCAGGCAGGCAGGGGTGGGTAAAGTGCTGGATACCTGTGGGATGCTGATTACATAAGCTATATTTAAAGGTAGAGAGACAGAGAGACAGAGACAGAGAGAGGGAGAGGAAGAGAGAGGGAGAGTCAAAGATATAGGTTCTCTGAAATAACAAAAAAAATGTTCAACCAATCACCACGGTGGCAGTGGCTGACAGATAGAACCAAGGTCACAGAGGTGACTTAGTTAGATGTGCACACACACGTACACACTCTTGAACCCTGTGGAGACACATGCGCATACACTCCTGCATCCAGCACGACTCACACACACACACACGCACAGCAGGAGAGAGGCTCTTTGATGAGCAAGGACTCGAGGTCTGATGAGAAGGGGGCACTGCAGACTGATTCATCCGTGGCTCGGGGTCCATCGGCAGTACAGCGTTTGTGTTGTGTGTTCATTATTCACATGGTGTGATGTTATAATACGACGCTCGTTTGGTGTAAGGATCCCACAAGCTCTCATACACAGATGAAATCTAAGAAATCTAAGGAATCCCATCAGGGAAACTACCCTCCCTCCCTCCCTCCCCCACCGACCCTTCACCCTCACCCAGCAGAATACATTAACATCATCAGGTCTAATTGTTGTTAAAGCTCCATAATGAAATCTTTGCAGGAGTGAGAGGTCAAAAAGTAAATTTAATGTGCTGCTCAGCTCTCTAGCCCCGCTGTCATGTCATCTGTTATCCTCAGATGGGAGCACGGTGGTAATGTGGTTAGACCTCACAACAATACTTAATCACAACAAACCACGTTAGGCCAAAGGTAATTGCGTTTGCTCCGTATATGCGTGGGCCAATCTTTTTCACCGCTGCCAATGAAGTGGGATGGAGAAACGGGGTGTGGGTGTGGGGTTTTCCATTTTAAGCTAGGGAGGGGAACACAACCAAAACAGTCTTGTTTACCTCCAATGTCTGGCTCCACCTTATCGAGTTACAAAGCTGCTGCTGCTGCTACTCAGACAGGCCCCTGATCGATACGAGCTCTGATGGCGAGAGGCAGCGTGACTGACGGTCTGACAAGGATCTCAGACCGAAAGCTGGGTAATGCATGTCGTGGTTTTTTTTTTTTCCTGGAGACACCCGAGGTTTCAGTTTCTCGTTTAATGGAAAAACCCAAACAAAGTGATTTTATCACTCTGCCATTTGCAGCGCAGCAGAGTGGACATTTTCCACATCAGTGGAGACATAAAGGCCAGGGAAATGTCACATTTGAATTCTGGACGTTTCATCAGAAACAACTGTATTTGAATTCTGGACGTTTCATCAGAAATAACTGCACGTTTAGAAAAACTCTCACTTTTATTCTCCTTCTTTCAAGGCTTATTTAAAAAGTGACTGTTACAAGTTTAAACACACACTTACTTTCGTTCACTATGTCTAACATACAGCAGGTCTATAGAAATCCGTCCATTCACCGACCGACTCTTTCAATCTGCTGAACACAACAGTCCAGCACCTGACACAGACTAATCATGGGCTTCCAGTGTTCGTACTTTAAAATAGCATAGATTTGCTGTATATTTACATATATGTTTTTTTACCAAAAGTGCTAAATAAATCCCACACAGCATGGGTTTACACTACAGTCTCAGAACTTTTCAGTCTCAGGGTCGATCCGTGGCCCGAGGAGCCAGAACGATCACATGGGATAGAACTGCGAGGCGGCCTCAGACGACTGGATCTCCACCTGAGCCATCTTGAACTGTGTGCACTGCAGCCATTTGCGCAGAGCAAATGGAGGAACTCCAGATGTTTGGCCCTGCAGGTACTGGTGGTTCACTCTGTTCTGGATGGCCTGGAGACGCAGCTGCAGCCCAGCAGACAAATGCTAACGAAGGACAATGACATCACTTTAGTTTGAAAATCAATAGAATTTCTCAGAATAGGATTTTTACAGATAGGGGAAAAATTCCTTACCTTCAGGTTTGACTGAATCATGGGCAGCCACATAGGGATCAACTGCAAAGAGTCATGAACACTGAGATGTTGTAGTGTAGCACTGTAACAGTGACGACACATGTATCTCTGGAAACTAAGGTAAGGTAATTTACTGTGACATATGAGCAGGTCCAAATATTCTAATATACTTAAAATTGCATTTAAAGAAAACAAAACATTTAATATAAACTCAGTATAAATATATATTTTGTATTGAAAATGTATCAAATTGAAAAATGTCCCACCTTCATATACAGTATTATCATTTGCCAATATTTCTCATACCTTTGTTTTTTATGTTCAGACTCGATGAAATACAACCCTAAACCATAACAGAGTTGCATTTTTTTTTAGATCATTTTCTTCTCCTCTCCTCCTGATATACTGACACCCATTTGAACCTACATATCCTACCTGTTCTTGTGTAGTTTGTATTTGTAAACACATTTTATTCCTCTGCTTGTCATAAATTCTTTGTTTTTCCCAGCAGGCTTTGCTGCATTTTCTGTAATGAGGTTACCCAGTTCTGTGGATGGTTGACACTTTGCTGCATTTTCTGTAATGAGGTTATCCAGTTCTGTGGATGGTTTAACGTCTCACTGACGTCTGTCAAACTGAAAAATTGCACTTTAATTGGGCAGAAAATGAATGATTACATGTTTTCGGTTCAAACAAACTGACAGTTGTTTTTAGAAAAGGTCCTTGGAGACCAGTGGATGAAAAGTAAAATTGAAAATTCAACTGCTTCTCCAATACTGTATAAGGCTTTTTGAAGGTGGGACAAAAATAACAAGAGTGGCTGAAGACCTATGAACAGCTGTGTGCTCTTATATGGTAATAAATGCCAGCGGTGTAACAAACCTTGACAAATATGGTGGAGTTGCACTCCTGCAGAGCTTCCATCAGACTGATGACATGGAGACACACCATCTCCACCATCTGTGAGTAAAGTTCAAGTTAAAGTCTTGGACTTTTGAAAAATTCGATACGTTCAAAATATGCATTAAAATGACAGAACTAAGTGTTTTTGTATGTGTGGACAGAGCACTCACCACTTTATTGTGGGCCATGAGCTGCAGGATACTGGGTGTAACCCGACTCCAGAACTCTAGACCCGTAAGGATGGCACCAGAGGAAAACTCTGTCTGGTTCTGGTTCTGCAGGGATGGAGCAGCAGCTGCCTGCTCACAGTAGATGGTCCAGAGTTGAGCAAACATGAAGGCGTGGAACAGGGAGCACATGTGCAGCACTGAGGTCTGAAAAGATCAAGACCCAAATCAAAGAGGTCATTGAAGTGACTGTGGATCAGACAGATCAGCGTCGATGGTCAGATCACACATTTCCGACCTTTGACTGCTCTGGGAAACCAATGAGGATGACGATAAGGTGATCAGCGATGTGGGAGCCGGCGTCTAGAGGGATGGGCATGCAGGAGGTAGAGCCCTGGTGCAGGGCACAGTGAGTCAGGGAGCCCAGCAGCAGCCAGGACAGTTGACGGATGTGGGAAACACACTCGATGAATTCTTTTGGCCTGTATTGGATAGAAATATGTATTTCAGAAAATATGACTTTGTGTGTTTACACAAAACAAATAAAAAAAACAAGTAATTAATATTAAGTTTTCTATCATCTGCTGTAAGCAATTGTGTGGTCAAGTACATTTTTTTTTAACTAAAAACACCTGCTTAAGAATTCCATATTTGGTCGTTGTAGTTCTTTGACCTTTGGGATCACGTACTTGCGACAAATTTTTAGGGTATTTCTGGATGAGCACACACAACATCTGTGCAAAACTTAGTCATTAAACTACATTAACCATTCTGTCTAATTATGGTCCTGGCCAATGCACATTGCATCAGAGCGCCCCCTAATGGACAACGTCCAAACCCGCGTCGTCTTCAGCAAAGCAAATCAAATGTCATTCTCACCCTTGCTGCATGGTGGACGGAGGGTGATAAAGCCAGGGCAGATAACGAACCACGGCTTTGTTATCACGATGATTGCCTTTGCTGATCTCCATGGCAGCCACTTGTGCCAGTCCCACTTTCAGATTGCCCCCAAAAGTGTCCTCGTGCAGCGGCTGACAACAAGCCTTCATGTGGCTCTGGATACCGCACAGATGGAGTAAGTTCACGTTCAGAAAAAACAAAACACAGAACGCACTCTCATATGAACGGTACTTACCTTCAGTTTGGTCAGCGTGTGCATATCAGCGATGAAGTCCAAGAGCTCACTTATGTATTGTCTCATACATTCCATCGCTGCAGTTGTGCACTATGGATAACAAAAGCAGGATTCATGTGTGTCCCCTGTAGGGGTGTGTATTGGCAAGAACCTGGCTGTACGATACGTATCACGATACAGGGGTAACAATGTGATACTACAGATGCGTCACGATACAGGGGTAACAATGCGATACTACAGATGCAACAATATATTGTTTTGGTTTTTTTAAAACTTTTTTAATTGTATTTAATTGTAGGAAATTGTCAGCATAGTAAAGACACAATGCTGTTGCATAAATCAGGGATCTGCATTTGTAATCACCAGAGAAGAAACAAACGCAAAATAAAATGAACCAACACCACGAACATTTGCATATAAATCGCTAATAAAAGAAGTCGACCCAGTGTTGCATAAGTATCGATACCGTATCGTGAATGAACATATTGCGATATTTCAGTGCATCGATAATTTCTTACATAATTCACTGCTGTCTAACCCAGTGATTCCCAACCACTGTGCCGTGTCACACTGCCGCGGAAGATTATCCAGCGTCCCAAAACCAGTATTTTTTTGCAAATAATTTTTCTGTTTGTCAAAGAGTTTTAATAACGTCTGCTCCTTACGCGGGGGCAGCAGATGGTTATTAAAACTAAAAAAATATTATCAGAGCTGTTGAAGAAGGTCTTTTATGTCTTTCTTCAATTCCTGCCAGTACATTAACATCGTCTTCAGCTTAACAGGAGTACAGTTTTTAGTATATTTAAACTGGAATATTACTATATTTCATCATATATACTTTTTGTGAGATTTCTGTTCGGTGGTGGGCCGTGGGGTTTTTCCTTGTGATATATATGTGCCGTGGCCTAAAAAAGGTTGGGAAACACCGCTCTAACCTACTTTCACACACAGAGTGACGACAGGTCTTACCCCCTGCAGGGATGAGATCATGTGCTTTTGAATGATGGTGGATTCAGCCAGACGTGTTCCAATATCTGCACAAACAAACTGACACAGCCCACGACACAGGCTCCAGGTTCACCAGTGTATTTGGTAAGTAGCTGTATTGAAAAGTCAAAAAAAAATTTTACCTGGACCAGCAGTAACAAGTTTGTGTCGGGGAGAGGGGACTTGAACTTGAGCGCCTGCAGAAGTTCCAACACCACAATGCGGGACATGTAGAACTTATCTCTCTCCTGTATGTGAGAAGATAGAGAGTTGCATAAATGTACTGATGCAGCAAGAATGCTTTTTTCTATTATCACCCCCTTCCCTTGCTCCCCCGACGCCCCCGTCCCTTACTCATGCTGCTAAGAGAGCACAAACTCAGTAGCCTGAATAGAGGGGGAAGGACATGCAGCTGGGGAGGAGAGAGGCGGTGGGGGTAAGCAAGGAGACAGAGAATAGACAGAGAGAATAGTGACGCTGAGGGGTAGATTTAGGCCAGTCCAGATCTCTCCTCCCAGAGTCCCAGGCAGCTGAGATGAGGCTGTCAGGCTGCCTTCTCCCTCCCCGAGGACAGGCTGCTCTCTTTGTTCATCCCTTCCACACAAAGCCAACTGCCTGTTTACAAACCACACTGTCATCTTCTGGCTTCCACTTCGCCCGTCTCTTTCTGTATGTGGTCCGGTAGTACCTTGGGTTGGACGAGAACACGGTGACATTTCTCGCCGCGTGGCTCCTTATTGCCCCGTACCTGTACGCGGTGCTCTCATAATTAAAACTTAATGGAGCGTGTCCGTTTGGCAAATAGCAAATCATAGTTTGCTCTTAAGCTCAGGGACCAAGTGCCATTTGTGCAGTGCCACAGTGACAAATGGTATGTGTGTGTGCGTGTGTGTGTATGCTGTGACAGTTTAGTTTAGTAGTAGTGTGTGACTACCCCGACTGTGTGTCCTTAAAGAGGTGGCCCTGGGTAATAAGGGAAGCAGCTGAAGCCCAGAATCCTCTTCTCGCCGTATAACAACTGCACAGGACAGTTCCCAGCAGCAATTGCTCACTGTGACTCTGGGTTTAGAAAAGTGGATATTATAGGGTGAAGAATTAAGGAGGGTGTAGAAAAATCAATACTGCAGGAGACATAAAGCATGTGGTGTTGACAATGGTGGAGGACTGGAGATCCATCTGGCCAAACGGTGCCGACAGCCCTGGCTCCATCTCCGTCTGAGACAGCCACTCTCAAACACACCATACATCCTCGGCCCCAGCACACCAACTCATCATGTTAATCAATACCGGCTGATTGCCCACTTAATCATCTGTGACACATGGGCACAGTTCTGGCTGAGTGCAGAGTCAGAGATCCTTCGTAGGTGTAGCACCCAAAGATCGGTGAGCAGGTGGCCAGTAAACAACATCGGCACGTTTCATCAACTCTGCTGGATTTGTTGCAGTAAGAAGGTTTGACTCATTCCATCAATGGTCCACGTCTGTATGTGTTGTGTTGTGTTGTGTTTACAGTATGTGAAATGATGATAATGTGTGTTCTTTTATAAGCCATGAGTGACTTAGAGAATATTTCCATTTGTGATGGATAAAAAAATGATTCTGTAGCTCCTTTCATTTGTCTTAGTTGCCCAGTTAAATCTGTAAATCATTTTTATTTTATTTTTTTATTTTATTGTTAAGCAAAGAATTGAACAATAGAATCATTAAAATTAAAAAGTTGTGCAACATGAAATGATTGATGTTGACATTATTTGAAGAAATACTGCCCTCTGTCTGTATTTTCTTTGATAATTTTGATATTTCTGGTTGGAACCTCTGGGCATAGGCGAATTAGGCGGTTGCCTAGAGCGCCATCTGGTGGAGGGGGACCATTCAATTGTATGAGTGTGTGTGTTGAGCTGACTCTAGATAAAGGACATTACTGCATCTTAATTAAGGTAGGGACCATGTTAATAGAAAAGACAAAGTAATTAAGTTAGGATAGAAGAAGAGTGTTAGCCTAGCTTAGCCTGGAGATGGAGGAAAGTATTGAAGTAAAGAAATTTCTCTGTCACTATTAACTTGTATTTTTATTTTACAATATTTTAAATTACAAAAGCATTTTTATACTATTTTTAAATGTATTTTGACCAGTATCATGGTATAATTGATATATCGATAGATACATTGTGGTTCCACAGTGCAGCTAGACAGAGTGAAAAAATACATAAATAGAATGCGCTAATATATATATATATATATATATATATATATATATATATATATATATATAAAATTGTATAATTGTACCTTTAACGTGAATTAAATGTCCACTGTCACTTTAAAAAACACAGCATACACAGTACCTTGTTGAAGCCCTTGTAACACAGTCCACACAGTTCTACAAGGTAGGAGAGACTGAAGGTGCCATACTGGATCACAAAGCTTAGCAACTTAGAGAACGGTTCCAGGAGACTCTGCAGAATTGGAAAACAGAATGTGTCAGATAATCAAGACTGGAGGATTTGTACAAATGAGAAGGAAAACCCCAGCCACCCTACTTACCCGGGTTGCATTTGTGGTTGGGATTTTCAGCAGGCAGATGATAATCCTCAAACTGGAATCCATGTGGCACTGCAGAGAAACATTTCAGCAACAGATTTTGTCAAATGTGTCTGTGCAGGTCCATCGATCAGAATACACTTATCTGACCACGATGGTAAAAAGCGTCAGAGTGAAATCAATCACAATTTTAAGGCTCCGTCCTATTGAACCTGACAAGGGCACCACTGCAGGATGCATTTTCCTCCAGCCTTAATCACATTAAACCATATCAGACCATGACTGAGTGAACGGAGGAGTCAATATCTACCTTCAGAGGAAGCACACAGGGCAGTTTTGTGAGGAAGGTCTGGAACTGGTTGCAGATGGTTGTCCACAAGTTGCTGGGAGAGTCCATGGGAAGAGCCTCCATGAACGTGGCAATGTTGTCCAGGCAATGCAGCATAGTGCCCCCTGCTGGCAGACTCTTTTTGTTGTTCAATCCCTGTGGGGCACGAGAGCATTATTAAAGGCATTACATAATGAGGTTTTATAGGCAGGACTATTTCCATTTAACTGATCATTCAGTCTTAATCAATCACATTACTCATAACCAGAGCAGGGGATTTGCTGGACTCAGATTGGCTCATGCATCAGTGAGTTCTCTTCCAATTATGTAACTTTGTAATAAGAACATTGAAGTAGGGCCCAGTGCAGGATAAGGAAAGGTTTCTTGGATAATCTGATTTGAGATGACCTCAAAGACACTGCTCGTAGCAGTCACAACCAAACCACTGGTTTGACTAGAGCTCCCCCTGCTGGTTAAATGACTCAACGCAGAAACAAGTGGCCTACCTCCAGCAGCATGTTGAGAGCTGCAACAGAGCTCAGTTCGTTGAAGTCTATCAGCGACGATGCCAGTGTTCGGAGGAAACTTCCATCTGAGCATGAAGAATAGAATTCATATAAATATGGCTGCCTTTAAATAATCAGTGAATATTTAGGTGAGTAAAACAGCGACAAAAAAACCTAACCCCAAGTATATGTTATATTGTATATTTAAAATGAAGTACTGTGGAAAAAATAATAATTTACTGCTAAAATTATTATTATTATTTTTTTTTTTTTTTCTACAACAGGGATTCAAACACACTGATCAAAAATTAAGATTTTCTAAAACAGTCAGTGGGCTGCAGTGTCTAATAACATTTAACATCACTATAGGTGTCGCTTGAGTGTTAGGGAGCCATGCTGTTGTCAGAGTGCAGGCACATTTATGGTCGTTTTGTTAGCAGTAGTAATCAGCAGACCTTTGATGTTACTCTGGAACAGTTGGGGCAAGATTCCATTAGGTGCCAGCTGGTGGAACATGCAGCGCAGAAACTGTTTGGCTACACCTGCTACATTCCCTGGAATCAACATGCTGCAAAACATCACAGGGCAAACGTCTTGAGTCGGGCTGGCAGTCGCTGCTCACATGTATTATTAATCTGGTCTATGAGCACAGTAAATAATCTGAGTGCACTGGTGTGAAGGCTTTAGTGTCTCATACCTCTCAGCTTGTCCGGAAAAATTGCCACTTGATGCCAACCTGAAAGAAGTTAAAACAGTGGATGAGGGCTCTGCCATGAATTATGCATGACTTCTATCGGCGAGTTATGAAAGTTAATTTATTGTGGAATTGCTGCGTGGACGGGGATTGCAGAGCATTTACTGGAACGGCCCTAATGTACAGTACCTGCCCACGGACTGCATTATGTCGAGAAGCATGGGAGCAGCCAAGTCAGGACTGAGGTGGACGAACATGGAGAGGACGACCACCGCCAGGCCCAGGGTCTCCTCGTCATATTCCTCCAGCACAGCTGCACAGTCACGACACCTGGGTCAACACATCCAAACCACAACGCAGCGTTAGGATCCTCGGGCTGACTAGTTGGGAATCAACAATCATACCTGCCAGTATGTTAGTCACCTGTCTGACATGGTGGTTGGCTGCTCGTCGATGAACTCCTCTGGTGCAGGGACAAACATGCTCACTGTACTGGGTGCAGATAGCAGACTGGTTTTTGTTGGACCTGCAAAAAATTTTATAAACAATACGATATAAATAATATGGAAAATGTTTAAAAATTGAATCAGAAATTGATCAGAAATTTTCAACAGCGGCCCCTGGGGGTGTGTACATGGTAATGCAGGGGTGTTTTTAAAAAATGTGGGTTGCTAGTGTATCATTTAAAGAAGTAAGCATTGAATGCAATGATACAAAATACATGGCACTAGGCCAAGACTTCTGATAACATAAAATGCTTACAGTCCACAATAAATTTTTGCTGTTTTCATTTGTATGTTTTTTTATATTTATTTATTAAAGGAAGCAGAGTAAAAACAAGCTTAAAAGAAAGCTGAGCATATAGAGAAACAAAAAGGTCTGTATGTGCTGTAAATCTGCTGACCTGTTTCCCAGGTGCTGATGTTGTGAGGTGCGCTGGACTGATGCTCCAACTGTCTCTTCATAAGCTGACTCATGGTCAGAGCTCCCAGAGAGCCTCGCTTCACCTGACGGTACTGAGCTGTGGGTCACATACAGAACAGAACCACGCATTAGACACCAGCTGCCACACAAGTATTACTGACACCAGTATGGTGGGTATGGTCACATGATGTGAATGAGGAGGACACTGACGTGAAATCGCTTTTTTTTTTCCAAAAATGAAAAATTCTACTTGTAGTGGGTTAAAAAAAATTTAGAACCGTGTTTATAACTTGCATTAATTATGTAATAAGAAATGACATTATGTGATTATTTTTGTAATATTTTTGTTCAGCTCCATTTTATACACAAGATATCAAATTAAGGCCCTTGTGTACGGCAGAAAATCAGGTAATGAAATATTTGCATCCTACTTGATAATGAAGAGCGATGGCTTGTTTCAGGAATACCAGCGTCAAGCGTTGGGGCTGAGGCCGATTCTCTTGGCTTTTCCAATGTTGACAGAACTTTGTGATCTGCAAAATACGGGTGAATGTTGGGCATCGGCATCAGGGTACATGCCATTACATGCCAGTATATATGCTGTACATATATATTAGTTGTATAATGACCAGCAACTGTGGCAGAAATGCTTACAGGCAGGAGTTTATTTATAGTTCCTTTAGAGCTAATTTAATTATTTATTCTGCCCCGCTGTGCAGCTTCCTTTTAAATTTGCTGTGTTTATAAAAAATGAAGAGTAAAAAAAAACCCCCACAGCACTGGACACAGTGAGATGTCGTACATTTGACATTTTTTAAGCTACAAAAAAAGGACCTTTGAAAATGCAGTTTCTTGCTACAAATTCTTTATCTCTTTTTTAAATGATGATCACATAGATGTTCAGTGGGATGCAGTCCAAGGGACTACAGATCTATTTGGCTCTCCAAAGTCAAGTCAACCTCAGGTTTACATTAGAGTCAGATTTACCCTATAACTAGTGTAGCCTTACATTAACTTAAAAAACAAAGCCTGATTAACTGCATTAACTCTGTAGTGGTAAATTCATAATGTATATTTCAAGTGTTAATTAAATACAAACCTTCAGAAATGTTACCTTTATCCTAACTTAACATTATTTTTTATTTTTTAATTATTTTTTAAAATCATATAGTAAATACTCCATGTTTATATTTTATTAGGCCTGTTGAAGTGTATGGTGGTAATTTCGTTTGGAGGAATGTTGCCGTCTGTACTGTATGCAAGACATCATGACATTTCCGGGTGAAAATGTAAAAGTTTCAACCCAGAAAGGCAACTACCTCAGGAACCCAAAGAAGAAGTTAGTCGTAATAGATCTTTAAACTGCCCAGTCTGGAATAAATCCCAAAACCCTCTGGTGGTATCATGACCTACTCACTCACTGCAACAAGACACTGTATTGATTAAACAAATTAAGGACCAGAGCATTTGATCTGCATTTGTAGCACCCCCTGCAGGGGAGGTAGGAGGAACACCTTGTTTTATTTATTTATTTTTTTCTAGATCAATTTCTTGCAGGCTCATGTTTTATGAGCAAAGCAGAAATCCTAATATTTCAAAGTCGGATCCTCAGACTTAAATCTGGCCTTACCTGCTTCTGCGGTCGGCTCACCACTGAGCTTGTCAAAAGTGTTGAAGGAGATGTCCAGATATTCCCTCTGGATGGCGCTAACAGCTATCTTTCTCTGTTTTCTTTGGCGGGGAACTATTTGGATTTTAAACTCTGCCTCATCATTTTCCTCCCCGTTCTCAGGTTTAGGGTCACTGTCTGCATCGTCACCATCTCCCATGTCATCATCATCTTCATCATCACTATCTTCTTCTTCCTCATCATTGCTAATACTCTTGCTTTTCTCTGGTGAAGAAAGAGGCTCCGCTTTGTCTTCAGGGATGTCTAAGAAAATTGTCCTACCAGAGGGACTGCTTCCAAGTCCTATCCCAGTCCTGACGTCTTCAGGGATCACAGACGCATCATCTAATGAGGTGTCCGGGACATGAGGGGTCTTTCTGAGAAGGTCTCTTTTCTGCTTAAGTGTCATTGGACTCTCGTGGCAGATATATTCCTGTCGATCAGGAAGATCCAGAGAGGTACTTGGTGTCAAGCCAGTTGGCGTGTTTTGCACAAGTGTCTTCTCTGAGCTGTTTTCTGGTGTCTTCTTCCCACTCGAACAGTCCTCCACACTCACCTGGACCACCGGAGACAGGCGAAGGGTGTTACTGCTGGCAGGAGAAGTGGACACCTTTGGACTGCCATTGAACTTGTTCAAGATGGCGCTAAAATCGAACTCTTCATCACTTTCGATGATTCTTAAAGGAGGTAGCGGTTCAAAGACTAATGAGTCAGTGTCTGACATCGACAGCAGCGAGTGCTTCTCTGGAATCGATGTACAGTCAGAAGAAAGGTCAATGAGGTCCTGGTCCTCCTTTCCCTGAGCCGATCCTCCCAGAGAGCTTTGGTCCAGTTTGTCGTCAAATGTCATGCAGCTAAGACGGACTTCTGGGATGACAGGTTTGGAAATATCAGAATGGCCGCCTCGGGAGCCTCTTCGGTCTGCGGGGTCACCGGCCTCCACCCGGACAAACGAGCCATCGAAAGATCCTTTCCCACGACGCCTGCTGTGGGATGTGGATGACGATGGGGGCAAGACCACAGGTGGGACCTGCATGTCACAGCGGTCGATGCACGACTTTCGCCTGTGCTCATCCAGGTTGAAAAGAATGGAGTCTGTGTTGGAAATATCCAGAGACTTCTGCTTGTGCATGGCCTGCAGCCTCTTCTTCCTGGTGCTCTCCTCCCTCACACAGTGCAGGATGCTGTCCTGTAGGGCGCTGGCTTCACGGTACTCTGACAGCTCAATGTCACCTTACACCAGGAAGGGGAAGAGCAGCTTCTGTCTCAGTCAGATAAACAGACGCCTTCAACCACAAAAATCAAATAAATAAATTGCACCGTAGACGAGACGAGATTCGATCGATGTGATGTTATCAGACACACGACTCGGAAGACCTGGGCAAAACACACACTTACTTTTTTTGGCATTCAACTCCACTGGCTGGTACTTCACAGACTTGCTGCCGCCAATCCTCTTCAAGCGGGCAAAGAAGGTCTGCGACTCCTTGTTAGCTGCGCCAGTCGGAGTGTCATGGACGTCAGACTCATCAAAGACGCTGTCCTCTTCTGAAGCAAAAAAAAAACGTGTAGAGAATTTCAATCAGGTGTTGTTTTTTGGGTGAAATACATTTAAGTTAAAAAGTCAAGAAATTCTAGATTTTATCTAGATTTTATCTAGTATCTATTTGAAGATACTGTACTGTGTGTCAGTGGGAGTGGGTGGACTTCTCACTCATGTTCATCATTAAACTCTGACGCTGTGACGAACGACTGTTGTGCATCACCTTTCTCCTTCTCACTGTAGCGGCTCATGTTGGAGTTGTCGCTGTAAAGAGGTCCCGCTGTGGCATGAGGGCGACAGCTGTGATACTGGGCGTTGAGTGTGTTGATAGTGATGTGGATCAGATGGAGGACAACTTTACTGCCGTCCATGTCTCTGTAAGGGTACTGAGGACAACATGGACACAGGAAGCCGTCTCTGTTGTCAAACCTTGTCTTTGTAAAATAATGTGACACATAATGAGTAGAAGAATACCTTATACAGGATGACTAGCAACGCCTTGAGCCACATCTGTCTGATGTGTGGTTTCAGAGCCCAGAGAGAGCAACGTGGCGGCTGCTGGAAATAGTGTCTTAGCTGTGGACACGTGCAGTACTTCAACACCTGCACCACAAGAGGGAGCAGCTGCTTTCCCAAACCAATGTTGTAGTCCATCACCTGTGAGATGTAAGAGATTACACATTTATTAGCAAGAAAACAAAATCATAACATACCCTGCTGGAATGACTGTAAACCAATTTAATTGACATCAAGGCTGGATTTCAATTACTTGTGCAATTCCAGCAATGAAGGCATTGAAGCAGGTGGAGGTCCGCATCTTCTGAGGGGCGATCATGAAGCAGCCCTCCTGTTGGTCGTAGCCCAGCAGCACGTACAGATGACGCTTCACAGTATTGAAGGCCTTGGCACTGCCGATGTCAGCCTCAGCGCTGCTTTGATCTTTGGCCATAAACTTCATGAGCACCATGATCAGCTGGTGGACCGTCTGGTGATCGATGCCAACATCCTCAGGGAGGAGGTCTCTGATGATGGAGTCGTCCTCAGGAGACGGCGTATGGCCTATAAGAAGCGACAAGGTGGGAAAAAAAAGAGTGACGTGAAGCTGTGGAAACTGAAACGTCTGATTATTCTTACTTTTTTTACTACTTTTCCCAACAAATAGAATTAAGAGAAGAACAGTATGTTCACATTTGGGTTTGTAACTCACCTGGCAGGACTTTTTCTATCATATCTCCCAGCGTCGGTGCCGACTGTTCTTGCCTGATAAGCCTGAGAGCTAAGAACCACACATATAGAGAACACAACTTGGCGTGGCCCCAGAACACATGTACAAGCTTCATGGTCATGTAGCACATACACAAACAAACAGACGCAAAATCTCCTGCTGCACTGCAGGGATTTTGTAAACAGTACAAAATCCATGAGTTTACAGGACATAAAGATCTGGATGGATACCAGACACTCAGACAGCCATCTGTCCAGAGCCACATTCAAATGAGACAGAGGCTACAGGCTTACTAAGTAAGTAAAATTATTATATAACACATTCAAATGAGACAGAGGCTACAGGGCTAAAATATCAGTAAGTTAAAGTAAGTAAAATTATTATATACCTCAGGAAACTGTCTATTTATTGTGTTGAGGTAGAATGTACACCAATAAAATACATTAATGACTGTCTATTTATTGTGTTGAGGTAGAAACCAATAAAATACATTAATAAGGCAAAGCTGGAAACCTAGAAAACGTTATTAAAATCTATCTTTGTTTTTTAGATATAATTTTTAAAACTCTAGTTAGAGTAGAATTAACCAAAAATAACAATAAAAAAAACAAAGGAAATAAAAATCACTGACGCATGATGAAAATAATTGAATTAAATCATTATCTTTCTGTGTGCTCCTTACTGTAAAATTCCTTAGTAAAACTACTGTATCCTGGAGTTGATTTTTTTTCTCTTTATATGAAATTGTGTAGAAATATATTATTTACAAACTAACAAATATTTTACCTAGATAAAAGGGGGAAAAAATAAACAGCATTAAGTGTGTCTCAGAAATTGCAAAGCCTGTGTGACTTCAGATTAAATTGAAAGACAGATTGGTGTACAGTCAGAAGGTCTGGTCGACTTGAACTACTCACGAAGTCTGTTGCTCTGTGACTGTGACTCTGGAAGTGAAAATGCTCTTTTTGATTCGGCCAGGTCTCCTTTCACACTGTCACGCAGTGAACGTACACTCTTCTGACGATTCCGGGCGAAACGAGCTCTTCGTATCTTCCACATCGCCGCATCACTGAGGTTGGCTACGTTAGTCCGTACGGCCGTGATGGCTGTGAGGAGAAGGAATTTAAACAGATTTCAGAAATGGATATTTTTTGTCTTTGTGCTGAATCTTAGTCCAATAAAATACTACACACTTGTGGGAAAGGGGAACTCCTTGTTGCAGTCCAGATGTAGCTGGGCCTCCAGAGATAAAGTTTCAAAGCGGTTGACGAAAAATTCCCAGCTCAGGGCAGGAATGTCTTTCTTGAGGAAGTGCAGCAGCAGGAGTTTACTCAGGATGATTGGTCGATCACGCACAACAGTGTCAAACTGGAAGTCCAGGCACAGACACAGGCCCTGAAGAACACACAGGACTTATCACTGTATCATGGAGATGGAACACAGACTCATTTGAAATGTATATGTGTACAGAACTTAGCTGGAAATATCCTAAGACTTACTTAACCTTTAGAAATGAATTTACAAAATTCTACAGGTCATTGTTGTCACTTATTAGACAGATGCATGCTGGGAGATTCAACAGAGAAGGTTCTGCCACTAAAAATCAAAACTCTAGATTTTTCTTTCACCTTTGTATCCAGCACTTTTCAATTAAAATTCAACGTCAAGTTAAATGTTTTTCTTTAACTTCAACTTCATTGCTTCAAAACAATATCAGAGAATTAATTCACAAAGAAATCCTTATAATTCACATAGCCAAAATAAGAAAAATGCTGCTGTGTTCCTTGGATTAAAATGATGACATTTTGTGCCATTTTTTTCTCTGAGATTTCGGGGCAGGTCACCTGCAGTGACGGCCTCTTGATGGTGTCCAGGAGCAGTCTGGCTCGAGTGGCCACAGCTGGGTTGACGTCCTCCACAGATGTCAGGAAGCAGCAGAAAGCATGAGCCAATGAATATTTCAGCAGGTGGTTTTTCGTCACAGCGCCGATGTCCAGGAACCTGCACAGCACGGCGACCTTCTCGACTGGGAGCAACCATGAGAGAAAACAGTGACAAGGAGGTGCATCACTAACCAGATCACATGTCAGGTGGAGAAACAGAGCTGCCAGATATCCTGCCAGAGTCACACTGATATAATAAGCAGACCCCACGTAAAATCTCTAATGAAGCAACACTGTACAGTGTATGCAACACATTATGTTCCTATTTGTCCAGAGACATCTCTTAATTTTAACCTTTCCAAAAAAAAAGTCTCCAAAGATATTGATTGAACCTTTTAAAAAAGCTGTCTCTTTTCTGTCACTTCTCTGCCAATGTGCACTTAAAGTATTTGGCCACTAGGTGTCATTGTGGGACTGAAGAAAATGTTGGACAGGGAAATGTATTTTTTTAATATTTTGCAAACAGAAAAAAAAAATCATCCCTTCAACATCACTAACAGGATATATTTGTATATCAAAATGTATATGAGGCTCATATTCATGATTCATGATATTCACACAGATTAAAATCTATTCAACCTTAATTTAATGACGTGGCTGATTTTCTTTTTAATTCTACTTAACTGCAAAACAATCATTGACACCAGTCAACAATCTTCACTCCTATTTTAAAAAAACTCTTTCTTTCAGTCAAACATTAATTCACCCCAACTGTCCTACTGGACATCTGTGTGTCAGAAGACGTGTTTTGTCCTCTCTCTCAGTCTCAAGGTCATAAAGATCACCCCTGCCAATCACAAGGCAAGAAAACCCTCTGTTAATCCCACAATTCCCCTCTCTCCCCTCTGGTTTGAGCCACACGGTAACCATGACAACACAAGAGGATGACGTGAGCAGGCAGTGGTTTAGCTAATGTATTATATAAACCATTTTACCAACAATTAATTTGCACCACCACAATCATGCCTGAAAATTAATTGCATCTAAAAAAAATGAGAGCCGTGTTGTAGTGTGTTCACACCAGAATATGAGAAGTCACACAACGCATGAGCATCTACATATCAGCAGACGCAGAAAATGTTAGAGAAATTAGTCTGTTACAAAAATCCACCCATTCAGTGTCACTCACCAGCTTCAAATCGTATCTTCCAGTCCTTGCTGTTAAAATTTAAGCTGATGTGGTTCCAGAAGATGTCGGCTCCGTGGGAAAGAGAGAGGGCGTGCAGGAGCAGAGGCACGGCCAGAGAGGCCAACTGGCAAAACTCTGACTTCAGCATGGACCACAGACTGAAACACAGACACAAGTGAACTCAATAGGTCATGTTTCTCAGCAGCTTTGGACAAATACACCTGTCCACCTGCTTCTCTTTTCTTTTCTTTTTTTTTTCCTGACAGAGAAAATAAGTTGTGAGAACACACCACGGGATAAGCATCTTCTCCTGGACGTAGGCCAAAAACTGGGGGTGATCCTTGCTGGCGAGGTACAAACACTCTCCATGGAGACACAAGATCTTCAGACAGTTCAGCATGTTAAACAAGATGTCCGGCTCCTCGAACTTGGACATTTCCTGCGGAGCCGAAAGAGGCTAATTCACAGTGTGGCACATGTACAAAATGCAGACAAAGAAACAGTTCAGATTTTGCCTGATTTATCTGGACGGACGTACTTGAAGGACTGTGTAAATGAGCTTCAAAGACACGGGCAGCTGCTGGTAGGAGAACTTCTTATCGGAGTTATTCTTCATGGCTGTATGGAGAAGGACAGCACAGTTTAAAGTGTGTCACATTACTGAGCAGTGGGTACCACAGCAGTGTAGTAACTGGTACATCTAAGAGTGATTCAGCAACACTTTAGACCCAAGGAGCCCAAACTTTTCCTCCTCTCTGAGCCAAAATTAAAACTTTAAAGTGGGCCATGAGCTCAAAGACCTATTTGCTCGTCTGACATGAGGAGACATGTCTGAATGTGGGACATTACTGTCTTCAGAAGAGAGAAGGGACACTGTCAGCATAGTAAACACACAATGTTATATACATAACATCAGGTTACTAAAATCTTCTGTGTGTATCGCTTGTGACGACATATTCATTTGCACCACTCGCCAACTAGTTCCCATGCTGAATTTGTTTTAATGCTATCTATCAGAATGTTGGAACATGAATTTCTTCATAAATGTATGGGAGATGGCGTCATAAATCAAGGATGCCGCTGTGTAGTTTTTTTTCCCACAAAATTCTTCTTTTACTGTATGTTCTGTACAATCTCTTTTTAAAAAGTTAGACAAAAATTAGACAAATTAGACACATATATCGAAGATTTGTACAGAACTGACACATACGTGCATCATCAGGAGAATAGTTGCTGGTGTTGTCGGTGTTCACACCACCAGGATTGTCTCTGTCCTCGTTTGCGTTCTCCGTCGCAATGGAGAAATCTGACTGAGGTAAGAGCAACGTTTCCTCCAAACTATCTGTAGGCTCCTGCAAAAAAAAAAACGTTGTTGATGCTTTATGTTATCCTTAACATTAGCGTTGTCAGGGGAGAACCGCACGGCGTTGAGCACCCCTTGTCTCATTAATATCTGATCAGTGTTACCACCGCGCTGCGACTCTCACCACCAGGCGTATCTCCTCCCGGGGGGTCAGCCTCTCCAGAAGTTCACATCCCAACTGGAAGCACAGAATGCTTGACTGACACAGGCTGCACTCCAGCGCCTTCTCATCCTTCTGGCATGTGTGTGAGCCCCCCCATGGAGCCTGGAAAACATTGTTGATAATGCCCACGATATCCTTTCCTAGTCCGCTGTCTAAACCCAGCATCACGCCGTCGTCCTGGAGCTCCATCTGGGACAAAGTGGAGAGAAAAAGTGGTGCATCAAGTACAAGTTTCAAAGTTCCACCTGTGGAAACATCAGTTATTTAAAAAAAAAGAGGGTTGAGGGTTAGGAAATATTGTCACCTGCTTTAGGATGAGGTCAAACATGAGAATAAAACAACCAAGGTTCATGTCATCGTCATCACAGTCCAGATCCAGGGCACAGTGTCCAGCAGCGTGACCCAGGTTTTTGAAGGGGCTGCAGCGCAGCGGGCTGTGGAAGGGGCTTCTAAAGGGGCTGGGGAATGGGCTGAGGGTGTTGTGATGCCCACGACGCCCTGGATCTGACACCACACTGACCTGTGAGTGAACAAAAAGTCACTGTACAAACTATAACAGCATAGCATTTAGAATTTTTACACGGTCTGTGTTATATCCAAAAATAAAAGCACATGATTCTGGATAAACATTCAGTGATAAGTATGGATCACAGTCAACTCTAATTGAACCCTTTTCACTGAGCTATATTTAGGAGCCAAGGTGTTACCATGGTTACATCCAGAACAGATCATCCTAATAATCGGTGGACTGCATGAGCCAAGAAGCGACAACATTTTTAAATCTTTGTCCCAAGAGTTTGAGAAGACATGTTTTTTATAAAGTCCATCTGAGTCTTTTCTCTCTCTTTTTTTTTTGTCTGTAAGCACTTTATCCCCCTCACCCTTCGAGCCCCGGAGTTTCCGCTAATATCAGAAGACCGTGCCTTCCTCTGATTGGCCAGTTCTTTTAAAGAGTTTACTCCATCGGAAAACATCGCAATCAGGAGCTGAAGCGGCACCACGATGTCCAGCTCTGACAACACCTTCATGAGATAAAACACACAGTCAGATCACAACATAAACAATAACACACTAATGTATATATGCATATATATATTTACTGTACATGTGCACAGTTATGTTCAATATATTTGATCAAAATTCAATGCTGTACTATTTAAGTGGTATTTCTATTGGTGTTCAGTTATAAAAATGAACACTATTGTTATTTTAGACTGCAGACCAAGAATTAAACTTACATATTTTAGTGACCAAAAATACTATTTAGATCTGTTTTCATGAGTTGACAGTAGCTAAAAATATATATTGCATAATGTGTTGGCACATATTAGTAAAAACATGTTTTTTTCTTACAATAAACAAGGGTGTAAACAAACAAAGTGGAACTGGATACCACTCTGCAAGCTGTTGTGAGATGTTTGCTGAGCTGACGTTACAGTAATAAAATCTCTCAATCACAGGTGTGAGAGACAATCTGAAATTGATCCATGTGCCGTACACAGGGAAGCCAGCTTTGTCTGCGTATGTGAAGGAGTGGAGAAATGGCTGCTCTCTCCCTCAGTTTTATTCTGCGACCCAGATCCATATTCAGCAGGGACTCACACTCTGTGACAGCCTGTTCAATTCACACTCACTGTAGACAGAACCACAGGAAGTGAACTGGACACAAGACCTTGTGTGTGTGTGTGCGTGTTTACATGGAGCCACAGCAGAGCCTGCTCTTGCACAGACGCCGGATATCCAGAGAATCTGCAGCTGATGAAGCCAAACATTTCCTCCATGGAGAAGGGCAGGGGACACAGCTCAATATCAAACATTTTGCTGTAGTAAAAAAAACAAAACAAATAAAGGTGTGATCATGTGAATGGATTCATGCAAAATAAGTCAATCAAAACTGTATTAAGGATAACTGTCACTCTCTAGCAGCTGAAGGTTTGTTTTGTTCACACACATATTGCTATGATTTGAAAAGGCAAAGAAAGGAAAGGAAAGTGAAGGAAGGGAAGCAAAGGTAACTTAACTATACTAAACTAAACTAAACTAACAAACCTAAAAGAAATAAACTAACCTAAAAGAAAGGAAAGGAAAGAGAAGGGAAATTAATACTATATTGAAAAGGATTTTGGAGCACGGTAAAGGAAATAAAACTAAATTAAACTAAAACTAATGAAATAAAAGTGCAAATGCTTTTGATTTAAAGAAAACATGGGACATATACCTGAGTACTTCTCTGAACTCTTTAAGTTGATGGTCTGGAACCTCAGTGCGAATGGACTCCAGCCACTCAGGCATGAAGCATTCCCACAGTGGTTGACTGATGATGTTGTAAGGTATCAGACAGAGGATGCGGTTCAGACCCTCCTTCAGCTGGGTCACCGTGCTGCACGACTTGTCCCAGTAGCCTCCCACCTATAAGAAAAGTCCACGCAGCCTGGGTCAAATCACGTCTCATTACCTTCAGTCATTAATGAAAGATTTACTTAGAACGTTTTAAAAGTGTTGTTGTCATTGGTCATTTTCTTTGACTTTGTGTAGAACTGACCTGTAGTAAGAAAAACAAAACTCTCTAAAGTGACAGCTGGACCATCCACAGGGAGGCTGGTAGCATTTTGATGTAACCATCGTTCATTGCGCGGTCCGCGAGCCTCACGTGCCCCCGTTATTTGGTGGCTCACATGGTATTCGAATATAAATACACCGCTGATACATTTTTTTTAAATGTGCTTGACAAATAAACAATTTATAAATACACCGCTGATACATTTTTTTGTGCTTGACAAATAAACAATAAAAAAACTACACTACAATCCCGCAAACGTCCACATTATTTATCTCGTTTCACCGCAATTAATGTTATTTCGGCGGCATTTGTCAAACCTGGCAACACAGTTTCCGGCTAACTTGACCGAAGTGAATGCTAGCAACTGAGCTAACAAATGCGTTAACAAATGACTCGATTTACATGAATAAATAAGACAAATAAAACTAGACTGGCACAGTGTGTTCCAGCAGAAAATGAAGATAAAGACTCCGAGCGTAAACAAAATCAATATAAAGACAGTGGGGAAAGGGCGAGCAGGCGAACTCCTAATAGAACAGATGAAGAAGCCGCCTCTTTAAAACGAACCAACTTGGGGCGCTATCTCAAAACTACGCATCCAAACTAAAGAGTTAGAAACACTTTACAGTAGTAGCCTCTTACTAAGCCGGATCAAAATAGTCATTTGCATCTTCTACTCTTCTACTCCTTTTTTTATTACCTAATGTAACCTAAATTGTATTACATTTTTTGAACTGACCTCATTCACTGTTTAAGTAGACTGGAAACTATTTTAGAAATATTTTGTTTGGGAATCCTTATAGTTGTGGTAATTTAATTCAGAAGAATCTCCTGATACAAAAAGGACATTTCAAGTCTTTTTAAGCAGTTTTTCAATCATAAAATCATAAAGGAGTTTTAGATGTGCTTAGCATTACAATGAATTGCAAGTGCTTTGTACTGCAGTATTGAGTTTTTGTATTGGACCAGAAGGTGGCGTTTACCTTTCACCAGGATTATTGCTTTATAATTTATTTCCTTCACTAAACACTTCTTACCCGGGCAAATTCAGCAGGTTTGGGCAGCAGACACATGACCATAACGTCGAAGCGCACGTCGCACACTGTCTTTAGCCACTTGGTGACAAATTGAGGCTTCAGTTTTTCCACCAGGCTTCCAACTTCATCATCCATCATGTAGGCGGTGGAGTGGAACCATTGGAAGACCATGCTAACCAGCCGGGCCAGGCTCTCAGTGGGCGTGTTCTCATTGGGGGTACACAGGCTCACCTGCACACGTGTCAGAGCAATCAGTCAGGGAACCGTGACATTCAACAGAGCAGTGATAACAGGCCGTGTACTGTACACATCCTTATCTCAGCCGTCTCTCCCTCTTATTGAAAGACAGGGTGAGTATAATAGCCTGTGATTACACACCAGGAACCAGATGCCAAATTGACTGAGCAGACGCTGGTCGTGCTGGTCGTCCTCCTTGTTGTCAAACTCGATGTTGTCCAGAGAATGGTGAGAGGCAGACAGGCCCATTTGACGACGCTTGTTAAGCTCAAACTCACGCTGTTCTGCATGAATTTCTGCCTCCTTGAGCAAACTGTGTGGACATGGATATGATGAGAGCGGGAAAACATGGTGGCAAGGAAATAAAAAAAAAGTGTGTGTGTGTTTGTGTACCTTATAACAGCTTCTACGGTGCACACCAGTTCCTCAGCACCACACTCCCGTGTGTTGATGGGAGGGGGCGAGGTCTGGTAGAGATGGGTCTCTGCTGCAGCCCCCACCTCACTGCTGTGGTGGTTGACATGGCAACGCTTGCAGTAGCGGACAGGCCGGTTTCCATGGCGCCCGCAGCAGCCGGCTGAGAAGCAGGTGACCACAGCCCTTCTAACGTGTGAGCTACAGTTCTACGGTGCACAGCCGAGAAATAAGAAAAAATGAAGAGGAGGAGGAGGAGCAGTGAGGCTTCAAGTTCTATTTTAGAAGACAGACAATAACTAATACACAATAAAATATCATGTAAAAAAATATAATTAATAATAAATGAAAATATCATGTAAAAAAATATAATTAAAAAATATTAGTAGTTATTATCTCCCTCTTTTGTTAGTATTTGTCAAGCTTCTTGGTCTGTCTACATCTGCTGCAACAGGAAACCTTAATGTGCCCCAGTGGTGTCTCAGGTTTCTAAAAATAAAAAGCATGGCAGCTGAGGAGCATCCTAATCTGATCAGCCTTTAATCCCATGCCATTAGAGAGATGCCGGGCGGACATATTCAATTTTGATTTCTGCCGTCCGACGGTGCGCTCTCTTATTTGCTTCGTCAGCTTTCAACAACAACAGATCAGATTCTTTCTACAGTATGTTCATCTGTAATCTAATGGAGGTGGAAATGCTGACGTGAAGACCACCGTGGTGGTTGGTGTCAGATTCTCTCTGCCCCAGGTGAGCTTTGACAAATGGGTGGCACAGAGCCTGATTAGGAGGAAAGGTTGTGGATTATCCACAGAGCAGGGCCCAGCTGTTTCCCCTGACAACGTTAGTCGGCTGCTTGCCCTAACGGGAAAACCTGAGATCATCTCACACACAGTTTTTCCAGAGTCTCTGTGGAAACCATCAGAGAGTCACTTTGCCCTGGGACGTCTATTCAACGCCAGCCAACCAGTATCAAGTGAGGAGCAGCTTCACTGGATATGATCTGGCCGTTAGAAAAGCACTTCAGTAAACCAGCACCAAAATAAAAATAAAAAATCTAAATTTCACAAACAAACAATACTTCAAATATAGTGTGCTTTATGTAAATATTTCTTTATGTGTGAAAAAGAGTAGCCCATACTTATTATTATTATTATTTTGTAACCATGACCAAACAAAACCCACTCAGTGTCCACAGCTGTGTTGTAAAGTTCAAGGTACTTCCTGGCTTCATCGGCCTGTTTTTAGAGTATATTCATTATTCATCGTGTGTGTGAAGAACAAACTGTGATTGTTCTGTATTGTTGCCACAGTTAATGTGAAATGAGACAAAGTGAGAGAACAGACACTGTCTTACCTTCTTCTGACAAATGGCTGATATCTCTGCTGTAAAAAATTAACAAGAATGTTCAATTTGATCACAATAAAAGTATTTTGTTAATATCAGTGTATCTAAAGCATTTCTCACATTTTTTTCATAACAAAGGTTTACTATATATTTATGGATTTAACTCTGTAACTAGAACTTTGTAGGTGGGCCTGGGATTAAAAACTAAATATGAACAAAAGAAGAAGAAAGAGGAAGAGGTGAACCAGTGAGCGTCACCACAGCCTTCACTGCTGTGATATAAACCACTGACCACTGGTACATTTCCTTCATTCAGAGGTCAATCACAAAAATTCAAATCAAATTCTTCTCGGATTGAAATGTTACACCGTGATAAACTCACCACCACAGGATTCATACTCTGTCAATACCACTTTCTGCCAAAAAAGTTACACACTCTGTTTTTACCAGGACACCTCTATAATTCCTGCAAACTCGATCTTGAAAGATTTACCAACTGTGGTTGCTCACCTTGAGGCAGCAGGACATCAACAAGCCATTCAGCATGGTCTCTGAAGGAGAGAAAAAATCATTAATGATATTATTATTAGAAAGAAAGGAAGGAAAGTGAACTCCTGGTCATTGTGACACAGCACACCACTGCACACAACCAAATGTGACCTCTGCTTTTAACCCATCACCAAAGTGAACAGTGGGTGTGCAGTGTGTGGGGACGGTGCCATGCTCAGACTCAAACCTGAAGCCTTCCGGACCCAAGTCCGCTTCCTTTACCACTAAGCCACCACTGCCACTAATTAACAGGGAAAATGTCTCCTCAGAACATCAGTGTTTTTCACATGATAAACAGTCAACTTCCTCACAGACAGACACAGAATATCTGACTGCAGAGCAGGGCAATTATGTCGGTTGTTGGAGGAAATGCTTTGTTTGTTGATCCTTTTTGTTATTACTTCCTGGTTGTCCTGCTTCATTTGGTGGCGTCTTCTTGATTCCTGCATTTGTTTGTGTATCGTGTCAGCCGGGTGTGGGTTTCCTGATTTTCACCAAAACATACAAAATCTCTATTCCCTAATCAAATAACCAATGGCAAACAGACCGTCCCGTCTTTATTTTCTTTGCACCGGAATCCTAATATTTATCTTCATTTATCCCACAGTATCATTGATTCTAACAAACAATGTTAACATTTGATTTTTCTTTTTTGTGTGTGTTTGTCATTTGAACCTTTTAAACCTGCTCCTGCCTTGTGTTCTGCAGCATTCCCACTAACTGGTACACACTGGAGGCAGGAGAAACAAGTGTCTGTGTGGTTTTGTGATGATGATCTCATTATCTGAGTAAGAGATTTTACGTAACCATAGCGATGTAGTTCCCTGGGGTTCAAGGGAGGAATAATGAGACAAGCAGTGGGTGATGCACGTTTGGAACCGAATCTTATTGCCAGAGGAGGAGGAGAAGGCGGAAAGCAGAGGTTCTGTGGAGAAGAACACACTCACCCTGCGATCCTCTGGCTGCACTCCTCACAGATGTACAGAGGGGGGGGCTTGTCTCCCAGGGCAACGGACAGCGTGGGATCTATACACATCTGCAAAAGTAACACAGCAATAATAAGAAAATGCGTGCGTATTTGTTAGACGTACTGCATACAAAGTTGTGTGTGATTTGGTCTGCAGGTAATTGACACGTTCTGTTTCCTAGGAACAGATCAGTAATCCTTGGTGACAGTCATGTTTTTTGACGATTGTCTGTGTCACATTGTAATTAGTCATTTTAACAGATTAACTGTTAACGTCAAAGTCTACAACAACTGCCGGCTCTTGCTACTGTATATTGACAATGAACTGTATAATAACACGCCTACCTTACACACAGCATGTCATGGGTTAGAGGCCCCACGTGCTTAATAATACTAGTTATAATTTGAACTTTATTGATCCCGTAGAGCTACAGTGATAGGCTGCCCCTATGAGGCGCCAAGTAGGTCATTCCTCTGGGAATCAAACCCCAGACTATCTGCTCATATTAGGTCATATTTTTGATTGTGTCATTAAGACTGTGCTACTGTCCTAACGGCAGATAAATCACCAAACATCCGCGTCCCCAAATAAACCTGACCCGTCTCCCTGCTCCTCTGTGTGCATGGCTGCGTGCATATGCTCCACTCCCCTTTTTTGTCACCTGTGCTCGGCCCCGTGCTGAACCTCACTGCTCATGGCCTCAATGTTCAGATGCTACACTGTAATTCAGTTTGCTCATCTGACGCCACCTTATCCTCAAGGACTGCGCCGGGTCACTACTTTCAATTAAGCACTGCCTGCTCCCACTCTTACCCCCTCCACACTCTGGGTAATTGAAAACCAGCCACTGTCCGTGGCCCAGCTCCTGCTCTGTTTGTCAGTTAGGAGCACAGTTGAGGAAAAGCAGGCAGATAAAGCAGAGCAGCAGCAGGAGCAGCAGCAGCAGGAGCAGCAGCATGATGGGGTAAATTAGCCCAGAAACTGATATCATTACTGCCTTCTGAGCAGCGACCTGGGAATAAACTGGTTAATTTACTGCGAAGATAAGAGGAGCTGCAAAAAAAAATGCATGCATGTTGGAACTCAAAAACCAACACATACACATGCATCTTCAATAATAATAATAAAAAAAGCTTGCATCTTCAATAATAATAATAAAAAAAAATGAAACAAGGCGGTAAATCCTGCTGATCTGTCTGCTTTTGTGAAAGTAGTTTAAATCATATGTGTCAAACTCAAGGCGCGGGGGCCAAATGCGGCCCACCAAGCTGTTTTGTGTGGCCCGTGGGAGTTTAAAAAGCATTTAGTAAAGTCCATGCCAGATTATCTTTAAATGAAGAAAGTAAATGGGTGTGAGTGGATTTGAGTGGAATTTTTCACTGTGTATCACTTTGGCCTGGTACCAAATGACCTATGGACTGGTACTGGTCTGCGGACCGGGTGTTGGGGACCCCTGATCTATACATTCTTACATTTACATCCGGCCCTTTAAGGTGAACTGTATTGCTGATGTGGCCCCCGGTGAAAATGAGTTTGACCCCCCTGGTCTAGATGATGTGCTTTATTTATCAAAAAAAACAACCCATAAATGTAACCGTGAGTTTATTGCCAAGTCGACGTCTTTAGGACTGGATTCACCTTGACAGCAGGTTTGTTGATGGCATTGTGGCATTCAATATGTTGACAGTGGATGGGATTCCAGGCTGATCCGGGCCGAGGAGAGAGGAGGCCAAGGATTGATAGCAGTGGGGGGGAAGAAAAAAAGAGAAAAAGTGGGGCAACATTAGACCGGTTGTCAGTTCAAGGACAGAAACAGCAGCAGACGTGGCATTGGGAGAACCTGACCGGTGTACTGCAGCCCTCTGTATTCACTGATTGCTCCTGGGGGCTTCAGGTTGGGCCAGTAATGAAAGAGCATCTGCACCGCAGGGGGCTTGACTTGGGAGGGTCCGTAGGATATGACATAAAGAAGGTCCTGCGTTGGGATTGCACATGAGAAGTAATTAAAAGGTTGTGATATGTGTTGATCATGAAGTCATACTAAAGGAAAAATCCCCTCTTATTTATTAGTGAAAATTCTGTGGTTTGTGCTGCTTTTAAAGACGTGACTTCTATTTTAGTTTAACCTTCAAGGAATTAGTAAAAATGAATTAATTTTCATTATTATCTGCTGCCAAATGCATTACAGACTGTTAGAATAATTTAAATAAAATATTTAAATAATAGTTAGTAGTAGACTTTGTTTTTTTTAATCTGTTATTGGTTTTAATAATAACAAATGAAATACTTTACTTTTAATTTATTAAGTTTCTAATCAGCTAAAAAAATGAATTACAGTAAAATATATATTATTATATTTTACAAGGTTTTTCTTGTTTGTTTTTTTTTTTAATTTTATAAAGGAAATACAAGTCTATTTCTTGTATTACTATCAGTCCAGACAACGTATTCACAGTGACTGGTAATATTTTGAATATTTAGCTAAACATCCAAATGTGGAACACGTGGAAATAACAGTTCCAACAGTTCAACGCATCAAAACTCCACAGTGGATTTAGAGGAAAGAAAAATACCTTCCACACTTCCTGTTTGTGCTTCATCAGACACTCCAACAGCTGACAGTGATAAACTAAAAAAAAAAAAAAAAAAAAATTGTTTAAATTCTACATCATATTCTCAAGTAGGTTTGAATTTTTTTTTTTTTTACAGTTTTAGAAAAATCTTTTTTACCTGGATTTGACGTGTACTGCATTGCAATCATGAGCATGGAGGAGGCTGAGAAATTAACATAAGCTGGAACTCCTCCATCCCTCCGGGTGGAGCCCACTACAGACGGAGAGACGAAAGAAAAAAAGAGTTTAACTTATTTTTATTGACCCTTCAGGTCAGGTGGGGAATATGTTGCATTAATCGTCTGTGATGGATTGTACTCACGTATGGCCATGGGGAGGAAGGACGTGCTGAGGTATTCGATGATGTCTTTGTGAAGGAATGGGGGGAAAGTGGCTAAGGTGGAGATCATAGTATAGGGCAAAGTGCTGAGAATGTCATCACTGAGAAAGGGCAGGAGACACGTGGTGGTATAAAATATGGACTGTCCCAGATCTAAGAGAGAAGAGAAAAGGCAAAAAAAAAAAAGAAAAAAGAAGAAAAGACAGAGAGATACACAGACACCCATTCAATAAACAGTACATACAGTATTTACATACTGTATGCAGCCAAATGAAGCTACTTACTTAACAGTTTTCAATTTTTTTTTTTTACAGCAAGTTGTCGTTTAAAGCCAATGAAGTAAAAATTCCCTCTCAGGAAAAGCAGAGCAAAATATTCGAGGTGATGGATTTTCATGCTTTTGAGATTTTTTTTTTTTTTAAGTGGTAAAATATTCATGATAAATAAGAGCACAGACTGTGATGCAGACTTAAGCCAGTGAAGTACAGTGTGGATATCAGTCATTCTCCGAGACTCTAGGTGCATTAAAACAAATTACCATTACATTTACGCTTTCGTCATTGAACTTGTAAATTGCACACGACAACATTGGTCGAATATTTCTGCCACTGTACATAACAAACATGCAGTCAGGTATGATACACAGAAGAGGAGGCCTATGTCTGGTGTATCCAATGGCTTATGAACGATTAAGTTGACGGGATCCAGCGTGCTCCCCGTCACCCCATGCATCCCTCAAGATCCTCAGCAGGACTTCTCTCTCTTCCCGTTACAAAAGAGGCCAAAAAAGCAGCAGTGGCTTCATGCAGGCCAGACGGCTCGGGGATGATGATGACAAACAGTGGTGCAGTGGGCCTTGACTCACCATGCTGACCGTGCTGCAGCAGGGGCACCAGGTCAAGCAGGGTCACGAGGGTCACATAGAGGCCCTGATAGTCCAGAGAGGGGTACTCTGAGAGCTGAGCGTCCCGACTCTGCTGCCCCTGCCCCCCGCGGTCTGACGGGGCATCGCGCAGAACGCTGTAAAGGAGGGAGCGAGTAACTGTAGGGTTGATGGAACTGACTTGTGGTCTTAGAGATGGGGTGAGTGGGAATGGCACAGGAAAAAGACACATGGTCATGGGCACGGCCAAATTGGAAGCTTCCTGGTTCTCCTTCCTGCCTGTGCGGGACAGAATGCTGCTCCGGGGCGGGAGGGTAGGGAGGGGAGGGTGGGGAAGGGGAACAAGGGAAAAAAAGAGACAACAAAGACACAAAAAAACAGCACATTACATTGAAATGGCACTACAGAGACAGCGTAAATAGAAAAAAACAAACCCAGATAAACCCCACATAGGATGCAGTGTCTCACTATTTGACTGTTATCGCTGAAGGCACAGGCAATTGGTTCTGTTCAAGAGTGGCTTTGGTTCAATTTATCTCATTTGGTCTCTCTTTGCACTTGGAAAACAAAATAAAAACATGAGCAGAAACTGATATGATCACTGCATCTCATGCGTATCTGGTGACAAGGAGCAAAAATATAAAAAATGGCATGTTTTCAGTGGCAACCCCATACTTCTCCAAAAAGGGACAGCGCAAGCCGCTGTCCCTCCATGGCTGCCGTCTTCCAATCAGCAAGGCCAGTGGCTGCCATGCAGAGAGTCCAATGAGCCACAGCGTTTTTGTTTTTTTTTTTTTGAAAAGAAATTTTCCTTGTCTTTAGTGGGGCTGTCAAGGATGGGAGTGACACCAAATTGGTTTGGGAAAATACAGAGGTGACACTTTTGAAACATGCTTCAGCCAGTAATAAACATGTGTGTGAGGTTAGATCAAGTGCTCCTATGTCACAGCACATGTTTATTGCACCAGAAAAATAATGTCCGTATGCATACGTTATGATACTGTACAAGTATCATCGGGAGAAATAATGAGATCCAACAGGCATATGGATTCAGGTTTCTAAAATAAATGTAACAACTAATCTACGGTAGAGGAGAAACTATAATGACAAAGGAATAGGTCGCATCAGAGGGGAGATGACTGGGAGCATAATGTTTGCGAGCTAATGCAAGATGGACAATTGTGTTTGCTGTCCCTTTTAGGGGGAGCGGGGAGAAGGAAGGGGGGAGGGCAGGGGAGGGGGTGGGCCAAGAGCTAAGCTGTTCTATCAGGCAGATGTTTGCCCAGGTTATTGACGTTAATATGTTTTTTTATATCTATATATATTGTCACTCAAAAAAAGAAATTTGAGTCAACAGCACGTGTGGCGAGTGAGAAAGGGGATTTCCTGGATATATATTTAAACATCACATTATTTGCATTTGACTGTGTTTAATATTTCAACATTTTCCGACTTCATCCCCTCAAAGTCATACTCGGCAGACCGTCAGTTGGTGCGGAGAAAAAAGTGTTGAGAAAAAAGCTGCATTTCTAATGGAGAATACAGTGGATAAACAAACAGACCGTGTCTCAGAGTATGACTTTTTCACTGCCTGTCGTCATATGAAAAAAAAAACAAAAAAAACATCATTAATTTTGAACAATGAACACAGACACAAACAGACACACGCACACACACCATGTGCATCCCCTTGCGCGCACACACGCACACACATACACACGGGACGAGAAATACATGTACGACACATAAACACATGTAGAAATGCACTGATACAGACACATGACATACATTCAGTGTCAATCCCTTCACTGTCGGTACATGATGACTATCACTGCTGTGTGTATCATTTAGTCAGAGGACAATCAGAGTCTGTCTGAAATATTCACTAATAAAAAAATATATATAAATATAGATATCTGCACTTCCTGGTGTTGTGACAAATGTATGCTGTCATTGCCTGTAAATATTCCCACTTATTCTATTCTGACCTGTGCTCAACCTAAAATGAGTCCATGAGTCAGCAAACTGCCTCCTCCTGGCTGTTTCCCTGTTCTGTTCTTTCTGCTCCATATGAACAAATGACTGAAAAAAAACCAATTCTCTCTTCGGAAGCTACAGGTGGATGAATATCCTGGACTTCTCCACTGAGGAAACCAAACATCTCTAATAGAAGTCAGACGACTCTTTGAATATCAGAGTCTATTGAGTCTATTGTTTCAAACTCTAGAAGCCAGTATTCGACATAGTATCATTTAGTCGGAGTAGCTCTGGGGCTCAGGGACACTAAAAATAATGAAAGTGGAACAAACAAAAGTTGGACCTCAAATATTTGCAGATTTGTCTATGAAGCCACTAAATAAAAAAAATAAAAAAATGTACTATATTGATCCCATAGGGGTGTGTATTGGCAAGACTCTGACGATACAATACGTATTGCGACACAGGGGCAACAATACGATATATTGATTAGTTTTTTTTTTTTTACAATTTTATTGTAGGAAAACTGTCAAAGCAAAGTAAAACCCACAATGTGGTTTCATGTCTGACATCAAGATTGTTTGACTGAAAGTCTCCAGTACTTCTCAGTGGTCTGAGGTTTAAAGTAATTATTTGCATATTAAATATTAATTAGAAAGTCGTTACAGTACTGTATAGTATCAATATGGTATATTGAAACAAAGTATCGTGATATTTCAGTGGATCGATATCTTCCTACACCCTCAGAAACTGACAGGACAAGAAGATCATACATAAGTCGTACACAGAAATCCTGTCAAAACAAGACGATGGAGTCTTATTACAGATGTCCCCAAAATGGCCGCTTGCTTGACCTGTGTCTGAGGAGGAAATGACATATTGTTCCTTCCTCTCTTTTTCCACAGCACCCAGAGGATCAGGATGACCCTGCTAATGCAGAGCTGGACGACCTGCCCTTTATGGACCCTTGGGAAAGGACACAACCGCCTGAGCCCACCCCCAACGGAGGAATTCATCTAACAGGGACCACTGAATCAATAAACATCACTCAGCCATCCATCTCCACTGCTGCTGCTGTTGCTGCTGCTGCTGCTGCTGCTGTTTTATCACCCTCTAAGCTTTAGCCTCAAATCTGTCTAAGTAACATAAGTTAATGTCCCCAAACGTCTGACTCCATTCTATTTCCTCATCTTCCTTGTACCCCCCGTGTTACAATGACAATAAGGACTGATCTCGTCTTCTATTCTAAGTGTGTGGAAAACAATCTAGTGGAAGTAACCTGCACTGATTCAGTCTGTATTTTACCTGTTAGCTCCAGAGCAGGGTACTTACCTGAGCAGGGTCTGGGAAAAGTACTTCAGTGTGTTTGCGATGTCTGTTCCCGACGGCACGGGGTAAATGTTGTGCTGCACACGGTTGTGATACTCCTGCAGGTATCGTATCTTGGAGGAAACTGGACAAAAAGAAGAAGCAGAATTATAAATTAGAATTATTATTAATGAAGGGAATTAGAGTGAGAAATGTAAACACACTTTCCACCCACCTATAAAGGCTGGATGAAGGTGCTTTATTATCTCGAATTAGACAAAGATTAGACAGAGCCTGACTGGTCTGGAAATTCCATTTTGACGTATATTAATAGCACAAGAGCTTTCTTTTTTTAAATTTTATTTATTTATATTATTTATTCTTATCATTTTTGATTTATTTATCCATGCATATATTTTTATTTCTATTTTATTTATTTATTTATTTTTTCGTATGTTGTTATTCTTGTGATACTGTCACATGTATATAGATGTAAAAGAGATCACGTGTGTATGTGGGTAGATGTGGTGTGAGTATATAGGCCTATATACATTTTTTTCTGTATATTTTGTCTAGGTGCTGCGGTTGTTTTTCTTTTTTTGGGGAATTTGATCAAATTAATACTCTTTTTGTTCTTTTTTTAGACTTGCTACCTTTTCAATATTGACTGTATAAAAAGATACTGGTTTATGTTAGAAAGTTCAATAAACAGTGTTAAAACTTTCTAAAATCTGCGGTGACACACTGTCTGAGGCTCCACGTCCAAATGTGACACCCCAGAACACTGACGGAACGTGGATGATCCAATTATCAAGTCAAACAAAGAGTCTGCGTTCCCATGGCTCTCTGGCCTCCACCGGGTGACCTTTTGGTACAGCAGCGAGGTCACGGGAAGCCCTGAGGGAGGCGCTAACCTAACGCTCACTGAAACAAGCTTGTGTATAAAAAGGTTGACAGTTACAGTCCCAAGATAAACTAGGAAAATGTGGTCGGGGTGAACACGACGGGGGGCTAACACGTCCCTTAACAAATATTGTCAAGAGACAATTCAGCCATGAGATGCTGTGATTACCGCTACATGTTACAGCGCCCCCTCAGGTTGTTAGTCTAAGGTGTAATTGCAGCTGCTGCTGTTGTTTTTTTGGTTGAAGTGGCCGTGGTATTCAGCTTCCTGTCTCTGACCTGTGGAACCCAAAAATAAAATAACATCTGCGACTTCTGGTCAAGTGTGATCCAAGACTGAGCTGCAAAAGAAAACACAGTCCACACGCTGGTTTCTACAGGGAACTCAACGTCTTGAGTTGTGACTGGTTTTATTTTTATCCCCCGCCGAGGAGGTCGTGCCTTTGTCCAGATTTGTCACAGCTGTTTGTCTCTAAGCGACTCAAACAGAGAAGGACTAAATTTAATGAGTAAGTAGGTTATACTGCAGTCCAGAAAGGACATGATGGTTTAGTTGTTGACCTGAATCCAGATTTAGGACTTAACTAAAAGTAACGGTGTTTCATCAACAGCTCAGTTCAATGTGTGACAGAGTGAGCAGTCCTGGACCAGAAGTCCTTCTTGGCTAAACATTGTTGTCTTGCTTTCAACTCTGATATTTTCATTTATTCTTTTCTCTTTGTCTAATTGAATTAATTGTCTTTGGTATCAGTGCGTGGGAAACACGAAGTAACAAGTAACCAGCCAACCAACTGTTTTCTACTTACAGTTCGGACCATGTATAAAAAGAATGAATCAACAGGATTCTGGTCAAAGAATAAAATGTTGATCTGGATTCAGTGATGTCTTATTGAACATACGAGAGGAAAACGTGTTCAAACTTTCTGTGTCCATCTGGATTCAGTGATGTCTTATTGAACAAGAGGAAAACGTGTTCAAACTTTCTGCGTCCGCACACAGTATGGACACACATTTGCCTGACCTCCGACCCCCCCCAAAAAAACTTTTGGTTGCCACGGTTTGGTCCACCCTCACGGACGCCGCAACAGAAGGTAGGTAGGGATATACAGCAGTTCTTAAATATTTCATATTAGAAGTGACTTGTACATCATAAAGTATGTATGTAAAGGTCAGACAGAGGTTGGGTGTGCTGTCGGAGAGACAGATGGGTTCAACGGTTGGCAAGATTGAACTGACTTGGACATGTGTCAGGAGAGAGAGTGGATGTTTGAGATGGAGCTGCCAGGCAAGAGGAGAAGAGGAACACCTCTGTGAAGACCTCTGGATGTAGTGAAGGGGGATTGGGTGAAATGGAGGCAGATGATCCACTGTTGTGACCCCTGAAGGGAGTGGCTGAATAAAGATAAGAAAGGGGAAGGAGAAGAAGGAGAAGAAGAAGAAGAAGAAGAAGAAGAAGAAGAAGAAGAAGAAGAAGAAGGAGAAGGAGAAGGAGAAGGAGAAGGAGAAGATCCACTGGTTTTGTGTAGAACCCATGTAAACCATCCATCAGTAGCTGAGGTAAACACACAGTTGGACCATGCCCACCCTGCCTGTTAACCTCATTTCAGCTCACGTGGGGCTCACATGGAGACGCAGGACGAATACTAATGAAATATTCTTGCTCTGATGTTTTCTCATATATTTGTTTATTGATTAAGAAAGGATAAAAGCAACGCCTTGCTAGTAGCCCCGTACGACAACAAAGTTTTGACCCCCTTTCTTTCTATGTTCCCCCCGCGGTCAAAGCGAGACAACGCTCTGTGAGCGATGATGAGAGAGGGAGGTCTACATGTTCCACCTGTTCGATAACAAATCGGCGCAAATGTGGAAGGATGGGGGGGGGGGGCTCATCATCAGCCTTCAAGGCTCTGCGTGATCAAACCACAGTATCGATCAGCCCAATGCCACCATGTTGTTCGGTTACAGAAGAATCAGTCGACTCGACCTTGAGACGTAACACACTCGGCCACGTCAATCAATTCAAAGAAAATAAATATTCATAACAGCCGTAAACGTGACGACTGTCCGCTAAAGCGGTTTCATCTGATTTTCCAGAACCTGCTGATGGACACAGGTACGTGGTCGGTGGTTTTCCTGCAGCCTCTGCAGTGAGACAGAGCGGGGACGTGTTGCAACCTGCCGCGGCTCCTACGCGGTTTCATCACCAAGGACAGCTCCCCCCTCAGCATCCGCTCCTTTTGATTCAAGCAAATGCCACGTTCTCCAGTTTTCAGACACTCCCTAGGACAAGACATTGACACTGGAACACACACACACACACACACACACAGTCGTACTCACACTGCTCTGCCTTCGTGGACATCTTGCCGACACTTGAGGAAACATAAAACCCAGACTGTCAGTTGTTTTGGTGTCTTTTCTCAACCTGCGTCTCCTCTGTCGCCGGTGTTGCCTGTGCCTGTGCCTCAGTGGTGAAAAGTGATTCGAGTCTCCTCGCAGCCAAGGCTGGGTTTGATTGTACCACTCTGAGCTCAGGGTTAACACACTGTGGAGCTTTCAGGCTGCGCTGCGGTGTTTTTCTCTCTATTAGGATTTGAGTGCAATTAACACGACAACCTTCGTGTGACTCTGCTCCTTTTTTTATTTTTGGGATAATAATTTCTCCTCGATAGTCAGGGATAATGGTGTAAACCACGTCTCACCACATACCTTTCCAAATGGAATGGTCCGGCTTTGAGAAATTGTCGTTCAAAAATGCCAACAAACCCATCAGTCGTACGTTTGACACGTTACCAAAGCTAACAAAAACACAGCACCCGCGTTGTTTCTTCAATAACTACATACAAATCATTTTATTTCTGTTTTCTTAGCGCAGCTTATAAAAGGGTGGACGTGCAACAGATGGTTTTCACATTGTTATGACTTGGAAGGAAAATATGTTTGTGATTTGATACATTTAAACAACATTATAAATATCTCACATTGTTATGACTTGGAAGGAAAATGTGTTTGTGATTTGATACATTTAAACATAACATAAAATATAAATATTGTTCACTACTTAAGCCTTTATAAATACTTGTAATAAGTCATTTACCATGAAACTCTTTTTAAAAAAGGCTTGAAAATAATTGAAAACTTTTACTTTTTTTCTTTTTTTTTTATTTAAACTCTTTTTAAAAAAGGCTTGAAAATGATTGAAAACTTAAACTTATACTTTTTCATTTTTTTTATTCGTACATTTATGACTGATTCACAGGAAGAAATTTGCATACACACACACAAAAAGATGAATCGTGGGTTAGTCTATTTCAACAGGTCAATTTGGTGACTGCACAGATACCACATACAGATGCACATGTAACTGCAACAGTGTATTGTTCTATTAATTGATGTAAACATTGAACATTAGACTTTACTAAATGAAGACCTTGAAGACTGAAACTTTACATCTTTTACATCTGAGTGTTTGGAGGATGGAGTTCGTAGGGTGTTGACAATCAAAACATCTTAACAGACATTCAAATTAATATTATTGAACTTAGAAAACCTAAGTGATTATTTTCTATGTATTACATTATGCCTGTATGAATCTATTGTGAGCGGAAAAAAAAAAGATTTAAAGCCACATGTGCTGTTATGGAGTAACTCAGGCATGGGCAAACTAAGGCCCGGGGGCCGGATGCGGCCCGTTCTGTTTTTTAATCAGGCCAACCAAACTTTTCAAAATGATATAATTTATTTATATTATCATTAGGGCAGTGGTGGCTTAGCGGTCAAGCCAGCTGCCAAGTTACCACTGAGGTGCTCTGAGCATGACACCGTCCCCACACACTGCTGCCCGGGCGCTTATAAGCTGCCCACTGTTCACTTTGGTGATGGGTTAAAAGCAGAGGTCACATTTGGTTGTGTGTGCAGTGGTGTTCTGTGTCACAATGACAAATAATACACTTTCACTTCACTTTCATTATACTGCAGTGGTGTTCTCACATTTCCCCAATAGATGGCGTAGAAAATGAGAAAAGCATTTTAGCATTTTAGCATTTTAGCCTTTATCTATGCCTTTTACATGTCATTTATCTTAGTTCCCACCAACGCTCCATCTATCTGCTCCTGACACCGCCCTGTTCAATTTTTGGACACTTGTGGCCCACGAGTCAAGAAGTTTGCGCTAACCTGATCAGTAACATAAACAGTAACAGTCTGTGAATGTGGTGACCACGAAAATTACGAAACATGATGGAATTGGAATGAAATGAAGGAATGTATATAACTTTGATGAAGTGTTTATATGTTTGACTATGTCAATTGGACTCTGATTGATTGTTGTTCTTGTCTGGAGTTTACTGCTGGGCTTGACTCCGAGAAGGTTCCAGCAGTACAAAATAAAATCTATAAAAAAAAACAATAAACACACAAAATTCAAAACCAATCATATTTTTCTAGAAACCAAACACAATATAAAAACATTTTACTTCTTATTATTTAGACACGTATTGCGTTGTTTGAGATACTTCTTATTATTTAGACACGTATTGCGTTTGAGATATGGCAGGCGTCTGGAAGCAGGAGTCAAAGCTGTTAACGCGGTCTCTGCCGGTATTCTGGGATATGGTGCAGAATCCATCCCGCTGGAACCAGGAGGGTTGCAGCAAACACACATATGACAAAGACGGACTGCTGTAAGAATAAAAAGTCAGAGAAGAAACATAAATCTTTCCCAAAGAGACACACAGCTTCATATAAAGAACACATTGGAGGACACTGTTCTATATCTCTCCTGTCGTCAGCCACAGGTAGAATCAGATTCTGATTCCACCCGAGTGACCAAATGTCCTGACTCATCAGGTGACACAGACTTCAGTCAGCGTTCAGATCTTACTACGGTGATATTCCCTCGGTCCCACTGCACTCTGGTGTTCTTAGCCCGGGCTAAGCTTTGTAAAAGTGCCTGTTCACGTCCCAGAGGACAGATTTTCAGCTTTATAGCAGCATAAACAACGTCCGCTATGTTTCACTTCCATCATTAGATCTGCTTTCAGAGAGCTGAACCCTTCACCGGCTTATGGAGAACAAATGAATAAAACATTGCTGCCGTTCTGCAGGCTCAGACACATGGTCCACATGAAGTCTGACTCCCCAGGATTGAGCCACACTATTCCAACATAAATCATTTTGGTGAAGTTTAAAATGCTTTTATTTTGCATATTGAGATATTTCTTAACAATTTGGAATAATTTGATAACTTTTTAATTATAATTATAATTTTTCTTCATTACAAAATAGACTTTAGTGTTGTATAATTGCTATTGATATCACAACGGTTAAATTAAATTAAACTAAATTAAATTAAATTAAATTGTGAAATATATTTGTTTTAGTAAATAAAAACTTGTAACTTTCTTAAATTATTTGATCAGTAATGGCCATTTCAAATGTCTTCCTCTAAACAGTCTCTACTGTATAATACACAATCAAGATGACCACCATAAATAATTTAATTGAACTGCTGCAATTAAAGCTACTAGAAAAATAACATGCCTACCCCCAGCCCAATGGCTTCCTTTGATGGCTTGCTAGAGATGCTTGACCTTGACCTTTGGTTCTGCTGAAGAGTCTTCACCATCATTGACCTGTTCAGTTTTGCTGCCTTGAGAAGAGAGAACATTGTTCGATCTTTTTCACCTCAGCTCCGGCCTGGGTCTGCGAGGAAAGGAAAACAGACAGTGTTGTTTGGGTTTTGGTGTTTTGTTTTTTTTTTGGATTTTCATCACTGCTTATGGGAGGAGTTACTTCCCAGGGGCCTCATGTAAACACAGGCCACGGACCAAGAGCTTATCAGAACAAGCAATCTGACGCTGTAGTTTGGAGTTTCATTCCAGTGAAATTGCAATTAAAAAAAACCTAATAGTATAAACCACAGCTTAGTTAACAGCCAATTTTATTGATTAATGTGATCAGTCACCATGGGCAAAATCAAATAAAAATATATTGACTTATTTATCAGATATAGTCTATGGTGTCCAAGTAAGTGTTGTGAGGAGAGCAGGAAAACAGAAGTTCAAAATGACTGCTTGTATGTCATTAAAGCAAGGCTGTGTTATGATTTGAGGCTGTATTTTACCCTCTACTGAAGGTACTGTCATTCTTGATACTAATGTATATTGGGAGTTATTTTAATGTAAATAATATTTTTTGCTATGCACGTTTAAATAAAAAATAAAATCAATTTTTGGTCATGCTATTGTGCAACTAAAACCATTTTTAATTAATTTTAATGAATGAAGATGTTGATGGAAACTATGTAATTAAAAAACAATGCAACTCAAAAAATAACAATCAGTGAAAAACATAAAATTTTAACAAACTCACCTATCACCTACGCCAACCAAATTGTTGTAAGTACATAGGCTTGTTTTTTTTCTTCACATAATTCACAGCGATTTGCATTGTTTTTTTCCACTCTGCTAATGCTATCTGACTACAAGAGTCAAATTACAGTAGTATAATAATAATACTTATATTTACAATGATAAATATACTCTGAAATAAAAAATGCAATTATCTGTTGATCGGATTACATTTGATGTATTATGTCGCCCCCTGTCGGAAACAACAAATCGCCCTTTAAAATCCTTTTTTATTAAAGAAAAAAAATCAGTCTAACAGTAATGCTAATCACCTATAGAAGACTTTACCACACTGTTTTGTATTTTCATAAAATGTTCTACACTGTTTAGTCAGCACACTGTATTTTTCATCAGCAGTAATTTTTGTGCTGCTGGTGTTTATTCAACGTCAGAGAATGCTACGGAAATTTTCATAATACAATAAATTAAATTGTGGTTTTCTTTAAAATGCCTAACAAAAATATAATAATTAAAACAAAATTAAAACAATTGCTTTTATTTTAAACAAGAAGGAAACTATGTTGAGACGTCAAAAACCCTATATATGCGCCCTGCCTCAAACACGTCGCTAGAGGGCACTAAAACACAATACGAGGGAAGCCCATACTCGGGTTACCGATGGGCCTCTTGACCAGTAGGCGCAAAGCGACGAAAGCTCGTCAAGTTACCAAGAACAACGGAAATATTGTAATGGTAAGGTTATTGTGTTTTTAATTTAAAGGCCCAACACAGTTCAGACTAAGTCCTATTTTTATAAAATAAAGCACTTATTTTTATTTTTTTAAATAGACTAAAATGTGTTCCAGATTCATATTTATGCAGATTTTATATGCAATTTAATCATGTGCAACAATATGAAATTTGGCCGAATTGTAATGTGGCAGTCATTGACCATCAAACCCACATTTTGTGTGTTTATTTTGTTTATTGTAACTTAGATAATAGATATGTACAAAGCAAAGGTTATTACAACAAGAATAATTGTTGAAAATAGCTGTTTTATCTTAATTTTTCAAAATTGATCGTATTTGCTTTACGCATATTCATACAAAGCAAGTGGGAAAGATGGTTACTACTAATTTATTTTGTTGGTATTTTTTGGTTCTTTATAGTAAGTTGAGGTATAAGAGTCGAATTATTGTGCGTTTGTGGAATGCTTGTCCTTTAGTCAGTGGCTAAAATAAAGCACATTGTAGTACTTTCTTAGCGGACGCGAAACGCTTTTATTTTGAAAATCCCAACGAGACGTTAGATGTTTCGTTTTCGGTCAGCTTGCAGTGTGTAGCGTTGGTTGGGATAGGCCATAACAACCACCCAACAAGGCGTTGTGCTACTATGGGGAAAATACCGAACCGAACCGAGAGTGTAAAACGGTTTCTGTTTAGTTTTTACTCGAGCTAAATGCTAGAAAAATTAAGCGAAAAGTGGATGCAAGTGCTGCCGGTTCCGTTCGGCTTCGGATTTGGACGTTGACGTCGAACTGTGCGTAATGAGCAGAGTTGGAAAAAGAAGGTGTTGAGCTGCGTTTTTTTTCTGCCTCTGCCAGGGACAACTTGGGTCGGAGTACGGACTAGGCTGCGGGCTCGAACGAAGAGAACTGATGACCACGGAGCTCCGCACTTTTCGGTAAACACCCATTACCCGCTTTATTTTCAACAGTTGCACCGCAGACCGCTGTGAGTAAAATAGCTGTTTGTGAAAAGCCGAAGTCAAAGCGACAGAGCGGAGGAAGGAGCCCGTAGCCTCCACTAGCCTCTCTGGATATGCTACTAATTACAGGGCTGGGGTGAATAGGACTCTTCTTGCTAGGCTGCAGCCAAATCTTTTCACAATACTATTCACCCTTATATTTTATCGGCAAAGACTAAGTGTACGCTCGTTTTTGTTCTCCTGAGCACTTTTATTCCGTTTTTCCCCCCGCGGAGCAGCGGTAGATAGCCCACCTCCAGTAGCCCCGAACACCAACAATAGCTGCGCGTTAACGGCAGGCTAACAAAAGCCACCGCAAATTGATGGATTTGTGTTCATTCTGTGCTCTTCTCTGCTGTCGGTGAGCTTAGGTCACCGGAAAAGTTGAGTGTGGACGTGAATTTTTCCACTGTGTGGATCAGCCAACGTGTTGCTGTTACGTGCATCTGTGTCAAATAGTTGTTGATAGGATTTGCTATGGTAGCAGAACTGTCCGTCATCTGCTCCAACCAGCCTTATAGATGTTTTCTGGGTCTTAAAACCCACTAACGTAGAATACTAATTAAAAATGAGGTTTCTAGTGAAACTAAAGATTCTTTTTTTTTTGTTGCAATATAACTATCTGGGGATGTAAGTTACTCTAACAGTGTCTAGTTTGTTTTCTAAAAGTGTTCTAAAAATTACAGAATCCTCAAGTGTTTTCCAGTCAGCACGCAGCTCATAAAATTCTGAAATTAGGCTTTAGCGTTTATTATTGTAAAAACAAAACTTAAGTGACAGCTTGACCAGCAAAATCATCTATTTTTCATGGTATTACACAGAACAATATTGTAAAAAGCAAAACATTGGCAAACATTGGCATTAAAAAACCAATTGAGACTTTTTGTATTTTATAATTTTTGTATTTTATTTTATTTTTTTACTAAATGATGCGAAGTTTTAAACCATAACTTTGTTTTTTCCAAACTTCAGGCTTCAAAACCAATTGAGACTTTTTGTATTTTATTATTTTTGTATTTTATTTTAGTTTTTTACTAAATGATGCAAAGTTTTAAACCATAACTTTGTATTTTCCAAACTTCAGGCTTCAAAGTCTAAGTATATTAAAATGATTTAAATTTACCCAGTATAATGGTTAGTATTATTTGAGTATACATTTATGTAATTGTAATCAATTTTATTGATTCTTTAATGTATATATGTATAATATTAAGAAAAGGTCTTAATGATCCTTGCAGTTGATCACTTGCAGAATGTCCCCAACCTCCTTTGCTGGAGGTGCTGTAAGCAAAGTGTTGAGATAGAGATAGATAGAGGTTTGCTGATACATAGGTTATATATAAATCTAATCCTATTGTTGAGTAGAAATGGTTACTCAAATAGTTATACATAAAAGTCAGAAGACAAGGAAATAAGAATAAAGAAGAAGAAAGAAGAAGGAATTGCACCTCAGATGTTAGCACACCAACTGGGTCTGTTTACCTTTGCTAAACATTGACGTAGCACTCTCACCACCTGGAAAAAAAAACAGACACACAGGGCATCATCGCTGCAGACGATTGCAACACTATACTTCTGTGACACCACTAGAAATCACTGAAATAATTTGTTCTTGATTAGTTCAGGAGATTTTATAGCATATCCTCAACATTTACATTTACATTTACATTTCTCAGTTAAGAGCTGCTGGTACATTTTAGCTGGATTATTTTTGTGGTATCTGTGTTGCTTTAAACTAAATGGCACTCATGGGGTATTAACGTTACTAAGCAATATTGGGAATTTTTTTCTCCTTTTACCATTTATTATATTGCAGGGCTTTTAATGTAAAATATTTGCGGTTTGTGTTGCTCTTTTGCCCTAACTATCTAATATAGGTAATAATATTCCACATAAACAGTGTTATAATATTGAAATAATCTAGAAGACGTTTTGGTGAAACATTGAAATAATCTAGAAGACGTTTTGGTTGGATGTCCTGTCTTTTGCTGAAACACAAACCAATCAGTGTATATAATTTGTTTTTGTCCAGAATGGTCAAGTTTTAAGTCTGTGCAGGCTTGAAGTCTTTCTCATTTTACCAGGTTAAGTATTTGTGTCAGTGCTGCAGGGCCTTTTAATGACATGTAATTATTGGAGCTACATGCTCAGAAGTCCATGACTGGCATGCAAGCACTTGCCATAGAATAACTGAATGAGCTGGACTTTGGCCTGACTGCTGTTTACTCTGGCCAGCTGGATGGGGAACTCAACAAGGAGCATTGACATCTCATTTAAATAAGCAGTGGTTGCTGTCCTGAGTTGCCATTCATTCTGTGCAGATTGACTGCCAGGTCGTGTTTGTGTAGTCATTAGTGTGTGCCCACTTAGCGTTCCTTCTTTGAAAAGATGACCCCGTTCAGAACTGTTTGCCAGCAGAATTGCAGAATGTCATTCATCCATTCAGTCCTCGTCACCTCAGGTATCATGAAGTGACAAACACTCAACAATTTGGCACCACAGTCTGACTGGGACGTCTGGAAAATTGATATGTTTTTCTGCCTATTTGAAATTGTAGTAGTCACTGTTTGGCTATTGTGACCTCAATAGTGCAATCAGCTGACAGTGCGGTGGTTCATAAAATGTCAAATGTGCAGCATCAGGGTTCATATTGTTGTTGGACAAGGGTTTATCCAGAGGCTGCTCATCATTGTGGCTACTTTTGTTTCCTCTGTCTGCCTCTGTCCTTTCAGTTTGTCGTTTTCCAGCCTGTTCCAATTCCTCTATTTCTTGTGTTGCTTCTGGTAATTAGTCCAATGACATAATGCACCATTATACTGAATGGAAACACAACGGGGATAAACAACCTGACCTCCCCGCTAAATGCTGAGCTCTTTTACTGGTGTAAACTGTGTAATTATTATGTTCAAACGGCTCAGTTTTTGTTTTTCCAACTGCAGTGCATCCTCCATTTGCACTTCCTGCCGAAGGACGTGTGCAGACACATCAATACCTCCGAGGTGACTCCTTCTAAAAGGTCCTGTATTCCGGCTGACCTCAGCACGGCTTGATATGACCCTCTCACAGAGCCTAAGATTGTATCACATATCCAGAGAGTCAAACAGTATATAATGTAATTTCTGTGTCAGAAGCAGCATGTCTGACCAGCTTCATCAGTAAAACACAGTTGCCATTTGTCCTCAACGGTACATTAAAAATAGTTTTCAACAGATTATTTTGACAAGATTAGCAGTGAAGTGTTACTTGACACTTCTATCACAGCTCCAACAAGAAGAAAGAAAGTGAAGTGTCAGCGTTTCTTTGGGGATATGACTGCACAAGATTATAAAATCCAAATTAAGCTTTGACACGCAAACAGCACTTTGTACCTGCTTTGTTATTTTCCACAGAATGCTGTTACAGCAATGCACAGTAATCATGTGTGTCATTCAGGCCAGATAGTCAAATATGCTGGGTGAAATATATCATCTGATCATTCCATGATTCAAATGTCATCATCACAATGTAGGTCAAAGTAACTACAGCAATACCATTATCACATTTCAGCAAACACTGTCAGATAACTGGTAATATAAACATTTTTATCTAGTAAATAGTGTACCAATATATAAACATTTTTATCTAGTAAATAGTGACAATGGTGTGACTTTTGGTTTATGTTGAACTAACATCAGAACAATACTCTGATAGTCTATAGAATAGTCTATTTATTTATTTTCTAAAAAATAAAATAAATGAATGCATATTAAAGTTTGACTGCACAGTGATGAGTTACAATTACTCATCTAAATTTGACATCATCCGTGCTGGCTGCTTCATAGGCAGTACAGCCTATTTTTTTGCAATGGCAAACTTTCAAATGTCCTCTTGTATTTGCAGGCTAGTAACCATGTGGTGTGTCTTCCTTCAACACAGTTAAATGTCAACAATGGCCAAGGCATATTGTTTTTGGCTCAGGTGAAGTGTCTTAACTCAGATGCTCTGGAGCAGGACATCTGTCTGCAGCACCTCCTGCTGTTTATGACTTGTCAGGAATTTTCTCACAGTAGTAGTCTCTCCTAATACTACCTGTACTTTCTGAATATTCTGCACCTGAGACAGGGATTTTGTGACCTGCTGTTTTTGCTGCTACATATTTACTTCAATTCCAATTTGCATTAAAGGACTCAGATCATCAGGGTTGCTGACTGGAGTGGGAACCAGCAGACCTTCCTTGTCGCTTTTGTCATGCCGTGATGAGAAAATCCACATGAAAGATTGATAGCGTGCCCTGACTGTCATTTGAATAATACATTAGTCCTGTTTGTGTGCCATAGCCAAGCAGTTTTTTGTATGGTAATGTTCCGTGGGTGGCTGAACTCGTGTGTCTTTTAAACTGCTTTCTGAGGTTAATTTGAATTAAATATAACATCCCAAGCCACTGAGGTAAAGTGGGCAGTTAACAGTGTCCACACGTCTCTGTGCTGAGAGAGCAAGAGGGAGATATAGGTGGGGGCAGGGAGTGTGTCCTGTCACCTCTCATTAGGGACGCATAGTCCAGTCCGGTCAGCGTTGGCCCCCTGCCCCCCGCCCCCTACGTGTGTGCTGCTGCCCTCCTCCACAGAACCACACACTGTTTCTCCTGCATAGAAATGTCCCAATATCCCAGTATCAGAGACTGTTTTTCTCACTGAACAGTGAGAGCCAGGACTGGGTGAAAACGCTGTCCTAAATTATACTTGTAGAAATGTGCAGTGCAGCTGCAGTCGAATTTGGTTCAGTTGGTCCAACGACCTGAAGAACTCTTTCAATCTGAGGTCGGCATATCGTTCATTTGATGTGCTTTGTTTCTACTGCTGCTGCTGTGCACCGATGAGGACAGCTTGGACTCTGGTGCGTCTCCGGGGCTTCCTCTTTTACGTATTCAAATTCATTTTCTAATTTTGTACATATGCATTCACTTTGAAGACTAGGGCATATTCAACAGCAGTCTATTCACATAAATATCAACCAGCAGTTCACTGGTCTGCTTCAGTGTGACATTGCCCGGTGACTGTTTTTTGTAGGGACTAAAAGGCTGTGGTTTTCCAACCCTGGGGAGGCTGTAAAGTCCCGCCTTACAGGGGGAGACACAATGATTTATTAGTATGTTAGACATGGAAAAAGCGCCCTGAGATAAAACAGATCTCCCATCACACTCCATTTTCTGTCTGGTTTAACATAGAAAAAAATGTAAAAGTGGGAGAACAGTTACATGTCCAAGTTCCTTCATGGTGTCCATTGAAAGGCTTATTTTGTAAATTGACCCGTGCCATTAAGTGGGATGGAAATAATGGAAACGGTTTCTGTGGTGTGGAAAAAATGTATATAATTATTATTTATATCTTAAAAGCTTGTTGGTGCAGCTATACTGTAAAACAGTGGGTTATTCTTTTCATTCAACCGTTAAAAAAGGGGGAAAACATTACTTAATAGTTTTTTAGTCAATTTTAAATGTATATGATGTTAGACAAACAGTACTGGAGTTGTTACCCCTACTCAATAAAACTATATACTTCCAAAGTATTCCATAGTGCTTTTGTAAAACATAGGGAACTTTATGTTTAAAAAAAAGAACAAAACATTTTGACTTCATTATTTCACCTTGTCAACACAAAATGTCATCACAAAAATATGTCAAGGTTCAGAATGTTCACCTCTCGTTGTTAACTGATCTGTTTCCTGAGCCAGAGATTAAAACAAAAACACGAAATGACTGTGTTAGAAATGCAGGAACTTAAGGAAGGTAAAAAAACTGAAGACAGAAATATTATAAAATGTTTTGAAAGTCCCATGCAGTACAAAACAGAAATGTTAACTGGAGAAAATAAAGAAAACACAATATTTGGTCAGATGGGACCTTTCTGGCTGCAAAGTTGTTGCTATATCTATAAACGAGTAAGATAATTTGAGCCTCCACATTACAGCAGGTATCTTTAGAAATACTGTGTTCAGAAATACTGTGTTAAAGACCTTCTGCAGCAGTATCACATAAAAGACACAGTCTAAAAATACAGCTTGGGGATAAGCTTTAAACAGTAATTTAATGAGGGTGGAAATTCTGAGCTTCTTGACCTTTTACTGACCTTTTGATTTGAATTAATCAGCCCTTGGCCCCAGACTTTTCAATAGAGTCACTCTCCATTTCTACACTGCATGATATACATGCACGCATGCATATATATATACAGAGTATAAAAATGAGTAAAATGCTAAGATACAGCGTGTTTTCTTTCCTCTGCGAACATCTGCATTAGATTTGTTGTTAACTGCCAGTCAGAGTTTCCTGAGGGCTGAGCAGAGGAAGTCTAAGATTAAAGATAGTAACGTGGAAACAGTTTTCAACAGCTTCTTTCTTCTTTTTAGGTCTTCAAACCTTTCACGCCTGTAACATTACCAACACGATCTATACTTCTAGCGGCTTGAAACGTTTTTTGGAATAATATCAACATGAATGTAAATACACTTCTCATTGGCTTTAGCAGTGATGCCCTTGGCCGTTCATTATCTGTGGAAGAATCCCAACTGTCCCAATTCATCATTGTGTAATCCCTGTGAAATGTTAGGCAGAAACATTAGACATGTTATCAGATGCCAAATCAGCATTAGCCTTGTCTCTTACAGTTCTACTTCTCATTTCTGCCCCCAGGTACGACAGGCTGGGCCTGGGGCTGTGAAGATGCCTCAGCGGATCTGTGCCTGACCCACCACTGAAGACTGAGAGGACTACGCTGTCTGAGCAGAATGACTCAGCAAGAGGGGGGGCCCCCAGATAGCAAGTGAAGAGAAGTGAGGATGGGTGCCAATGGATCCAGCTATCCACACTCATGCTCCCCGCGCTCTGGGGGGAACGGACAGGCACAGCAGACATTTATAGGTAATTCTAGGACAAAATATATTTGCAAGTATTTCAAACTTTGAGTCAAACAATCCTGGGTTTTTTTTTTCCATTTGTTTCCAAAACCAAAATATTCAGCTAATGCTTCCGTTTCTTCTGTAGTGTTTACAAATGTAAGCTGTTCAAATTTTAGTAACCTGATAAGCATGTAACAGCATTGTGTGTTTACTATGTTTTCAGTTTTCCTACAATGAAAAAAACCCTCAGTATATCGTCATGCCTAAAATATCGCAATATATCGTATATCGTCGCCCCTGTATCACGATATGTATCCTATTGCCAGATTCTTGCCAATACCAAACCCTAATATATAATTGTGACTCGTATCATGTTTTTATTGTACTCTATCATTTCTAGGCTTTTGTCCAGGTTGGTTCAAAAATACACGGCATGGCATCAGCATTAAGACTTACTGCAGATATAATATTTCTATCTGACATTTCAGGTCTGGGAAAATGAAAAGACCTTGGTTTGACCTTAGTGTTTCAATTTCTCAGCTTCTTCTCAGACCAGCTGGACCTTTTATAGCTGCTCCAGACTGGACAAAAGTCTTGTGTCACATAAACTTTGTTTCATTCTTAGCATAATGTGCGTCTAATAGCGGGGCAGAATCTTTAATTAGTTGTTGGAGATCAAAGCCTTCATATCGTTCTGCTGGGGAACATGTTAGAGAACATATTTTATACGTTATCTAATTCAGTGATTTGCGTCTTCCTGGTTTAAGTCATTAAGTGCTTCCCTGTAGCCCCCGCTGCCAGAGGGTTGGTAAAACTGCTTTATAGGTGAATTAGTTCTCAACAAAACTCTTCTTTTTCACTTTGAAATAGACCCAGGTCTGAGCGTTCACTGTATTCGGGGTAACAAATCAACTTCCTAGCTCATGCCGCCCTGGAGGATTGCTGTGAGCAACGGTTGCTTGGTTCAGACATGATTCACAGTTTTGAATAATTACTATTTAGGTCACACTGGTAGATACTGAGAGAAGGGCAGGCAAAGAGGATCTCCTTGGCAAACCCCCCCTGACACATGAATGCTGTCTCTCACGCCAAAAACTGTGATTCAGTGTAATTAATGGAACCCAAGTATGTGAATGGACTGAGTTCATTGAGAAGGGTGAAACAGGACAACCTCTTTTATGAGCTAATTGGTTCTTAGTGGCCCAAAAGAAAACAAAGGGCTCCTGTGTTTTTTTTCTTCTTTTGAACCAGATCCAGATGTAGAGCCAGATCCAATGTGTTCTTGGCCTGACAGAGCTGGTCATACCACAGGGGTGCCAGAGACAGATAGAGTTTCCTGTAGTCTGGCCTCAAGAGTGTAGGAGTTATGAAATCACACGTCTCATCAGAAAACCGTTTAAAAATGTTATTTCTGGGGAGAAAGATATAAAACGATCATACTTTTTGACTCATTATTTGCAATATTTGTTAAATTATGTGGAGCTTGCAAGCACATTTTTTATTTTATTTCATTTCAGGGACCTCATCCTACTCTCAGCAGGGTTATGGCTGGGAGTCAAAGCTGTACAGCCTTGAGCATGGCCACGAGCGTCCCACAGACAGGAAAAAGAAAAGCCTTGGTCTGGCCACCCTCAAACGGAGGTTCATCAAAAGGAGGAAGTCCAGCCGCTCAGCAGATCATGCACGACAAATGCGAGAGCTTCTGTCAGGATGGGACGTCCGTGACATGAAAGCCCTGGTGGAGGAGTATGAGGGTACAGCTGCCCTCAAGGAACTGAGCTTCCAGGCCAGCCTGGCCCGTGCCGAAGCCCCTAACTTGCAGCGAGATCTCGCCGCCCTCTACCAGCACAAGTACTGCACAGACGTGGATCTCATTTTCCAAGGTACCTGCTTCCCAGCTCACCGGGCCGTCTTGGCTGCCCGCTGCCCATTTTTCAAGACTCTGCTGTCTTCTTCCCCTGGCTATGGAGCAGAGGTCCTTATGGACGTGGAGACGGCAGGCATTGATGTGCCAATGTTCTCGGCCCTGCTTCACTACTTATACACAGGGGAGTTTGGTGTGGGTGGTGCAGAGGATTCAAGGCTTCAGAACGTGGATGTACTGGTGCGGCTGAGCGAGGAGTTTGGAACACCTAACTCTCTGGAGGCAGACATGAAGGGCTTATTTGACTACATGTGTTATTATGACGCTCTGCTCAGCTTCTCCACAGACTCTGAGATGATAGAGAGCTGTAACGAGAGAGGAGCTGCAGCTGCGGCCCCAACAGCGGGCGCAGCGGGCAGCGGGGCACCCATGACCCCGGATGAGGACCTCAGGGCACACAAGGCAGTCCTCTCGGCACGCTCCCCTTTCTTCAGAAACCTTTTGCAGCGACGTATTCGCACCGGAGAGGAAATGACTGAGCGCACGCTGCAGACGCCCACCCGCATCGTGCTGGACGAGTCCATCATACCACGGAAATATGTGCAGGTTATTCTCCACTGCATGTACACAGATGTGGTGGAGCTCGGCTTGGTGCTCCGGAGCAGCCCCTCGGCAAGCAGCCTGGGTGAGGTTCAAGCTCTGGTTTCAGGAGGCCGTGGGGCCAGCACACGCACCGAGGAGGCCATGGAGCTGTACCACATCGCTCTGTTTTTGGAGTTCAGTATGTTGGCTCAAGGTAAGTCATAACTGCCAGTTATTTATCAGGTAAAATAAAATAAAAATTCTCTTAACACAGTGGTTCCCAAGTCGGGAGTGGACGCCAATACAGGAGCAGAGCTATAACAGGGGTGACAGCAGGGCAAATCATTTATCATTTATCATTTAATCATTTTTTATTAATGTTTTCTTGATTTGTGTAATTTGGGAAATTACACACATTTGTCATTTTGTTCAGTGAGAATACCAGTGGTTTTAAAAATATGTTGCTTGACAGGAGTCATATCTACAAATGGGGATGGTCTTTCTTCTAATGGTCAACACTTTAAGAGACGATGGTGACTTGGTGGTAAAAGACGTGGACTAGGGCCTGGAAGATTTTAGATACAAGTCCACCAGCTGCCAAGTTACCACTGAGGTGCTCTGAGCATGGCATTGTCCCCACACACTGCTGCCTGGGGGCTAGAGCTGCCTCCAGCTCACTGTGGTGATGGGAAAAGAGGTCACATTTGGTTGTGTGCTGTGTCACAATGACAAGGAGTTCACATTCACTAAACCCAGAATTTCAGGAAAAGGGAAAAAGTGATAAAATATAGGCAGGAAAGAGTTCATACTTCAAACACTTACAGTGGTTCAATGTTATAAAAAACACAAATGTGTGGAAATATGTAATAAATGGCAGTTTGTGCTTTGAAACAAAATTACACGTGTGTCTCCCACCCTCTTGAAACTCACATCTGTCTTTATAACCCACATTATGCTCATGTCAGCAGATTGACCAGTGTTGAACAGCTTGGCAGAGTAATGGTGGATAGAGCTGTGGCTGCAGCCTGCAGACTGATACAGGCTGATGAGTTGTTTGTGTCTCCAGAGGCAGACATCTTACTGTGTGATAGATGCAGTGGCTCTGAGCTTTTGTCAGCACCGCGGCTCAGGTCATCTGCTTTGCCACTGGCCTTCCTTTACTTTGAAGACACTGGCTTTTTTTCCCCCACTGCCGCTCCTTTCTAAATGCTTTTTTTTTGTTGTATTGTTTGACACAAGGTTCTCACTTTGTCACTCTCACCTCATGCAGAGTTCTGTTTTAAAGTACAGTCCTGTTTTTACTACACCTGAAAAATTGCCCACAAAAGGGCCAAACATGAAAACCCTATTGTTTTTGAACCACCTTCTTGGATATGAATGCAGGAGGAGGTTGTATGACAGCGATTCTGTTACAGTCTTAAGTTTCATAAAGCTGAAGGGACGATAATAGGCTTGTCAAATATTAAACAATAAGTGATATCACCTGCAATATGTTAAGGCAGTGCCTGGTGATTTGAAACTGTGGATTCTCCCAAGTAACAAACCTTGGTAAACTTAATTAAACTTTTATTTTAATCAAAAATATTAATTTGTCTCCTCATTTACCACTTCTCCTTAAGCCCTCTCTTGGTTGAATGAAATTTACTACAAAACAACTGTGGAAACAGACCATCTGGGTCAGCGTGCTAATGCATGCAAGTACTATTTACTATCCATCCATCCATCCATTTTCATCCGCTTATCCGTTACCGGGTCGCGGGGCAGCAGTCGCCACCCAAATCACATTGCACCGTACCAAACCTTCCTGCGGGTGGTGAGTCCACTGGATACTATTTACTATTTAAAATAAAATAATAAAATTGATGACTTGATTAAAAGAATTTATAAAAGCAGCATAAATGGAACTAGGTTGTTTTTGTTTTGTTTTTTTAATGCAAAAACGCCCCATCACTGCCAAGAAAGTAGTAATGCGACCTCCTAAACCTTTGTGGAATATGATAGGATTGGATTCACCCTCATGTCAGATGTGTTATGCAGAGTGGTGTATGTATTTAGAACACACATTTGAGTCTTATCCACATTTTTAAAAACAGCTGCGGTGATATGAACATCCTTGTACACTAACATAATGTACGCAGCCTGTTAGACACCTCCCTCTACACCCCCGTGCTCCCCTCCGTCCTGCCCCCAAGCAGTCGTGTCATTCTCAGGGTCAGTCTGCCAGCTCAAGCCTGCCAGGATGCAAATAGTGTCATCACCACACACCATCACCTCTTTCCTCCCACCCATCCCACCCATCCCCCCGCTCCAACAAGCCCCTACTGGAGGGTATTTTTATCCCCTCTCCTCCCTCTCCCACTGTGTTGCACAGCTCCAAACAGTTCCCATGAAACCTCTGTGTGGTATGTGGTGAGATGCTTGAGGTTGACCCGGTGTTTTATCCAAGTCCATTCTTTTTTCCTCTCTTCTGCAGCATCTTGTTATTATTATTACCATTTGTGAGAGATATCTCTTCCACTCTGTTTATTTATCTCTGTCAGTCTTTACACACAACACGGTGTTAAATATTTCTGTAGTCCGTGGGTTTTAATGTAGAAAAAAAAATTGGTCCCTGGAGATTTTGGTAGCTGCCATATATTCTTAGGAGGCAGCAAAAAGGTTTATGTCAGAGGATTCACGAGGAGACCCCCCCACCCCTCTCTCATCTGTCCCTCCGTCTTTCCCATGCATGCTCCTGCGCTGCTGCCCCCTGCCTGTGTGGATTAGCCTGTGGAGGTTTTTTATAGAGCAGTTGGGCTCTCTGTCATTCCTTCTTATTAAATCTCAACGCTTGTATCCCTTTATGGCTCCATCTCACTCGAACGGAAACCGCTATTAAAAGCCTTATTAATTTTTCAAGTGCATCACGGTGGCGATTACCAGTTGGTGTGGTTTCGGTTCGTGCACAGAAATGCCATCTATTCCACCAGTTCTCTCTGAAGAACCCTGCAGTTCCATATCTTTAGTATAAACTGCCCAGACCAAAATCCAGAACCTTTGAACCATCCTCATATATTTCAGTTGCATCCAAAGGCTTGTTTATAGACAGTCGAGTGCAGTTGGTGTTTTAAGTGGCTTTGGGGGTTGTGTTCCATAAACACAACGCTGCGAATAATAACTGCAAGATAAGATGCATATGTCGTCTGTAGTCACGGTAGCACAGCGTCAGCTTTTGTTGTTCGTGTTGCCATGTTGATTTTCTTCACGGTGATTGTTCTACTGAATGTGGTTTACCACCTGTGGAGAGGACGGGAGCTAAATAAAGTATAAAATGTGATTTTTTTTAATTTTTTTTTATTAATCTTGCTTATAAAATGTACTGTAAAGCTGTGTTCTTTAACTGTGTTTTTTTTTTCTCCACATTCTTGTGTCACTAGTTCCATGTATAAAGCGGTCTGTTCTTGAGCCAAGGGAATAAATACAAAAAGTGACAGTCTGGGATAAAAACCAAAATACAAAACCCACTCATGCACTCTCAAGACAGACGGGACATGGATGAGGAGGGGAGATGAAGGCAGATGTCAAGAGTTCACTCCCTCCGTCTTTTAGTCTGTTTACAGCAGATAAAATGTCACAGTGTCAGAGTCCACATTTCAGCCTCATGTGTCTGAACGATACAGATTTTCCATCAAACACTGCAGGCCTCGGATATGCATTTCAGTAGTTTGTGTGCTTTTCTAATAGCACCCCCTGGAGGGTAAATGAATTACATTGATGTTCATGTATTGATATGAATCACCTTGCATATAGGTCCATATTCAGCGCGTTAGCTGTGCTTGAAGAAGAAAGAAAACGACTTTCATCCTGGAGTCATCCCACTCAAGTGTGGTGTCCAATTTCCTAGAGTGTTTGTTCAAAGCTGTGGTTTGGGGGAGGAACGGCAGCTTGTGCTTCTAGTTTAAGATAAGAGATTCCCAGTGGAGTGTTGCTACTGACCCAACCAGGGGCTGATATGCAGGATGGACTGAGATGGAATGAGGAAGTCAGGAAGAACAAATTTGTCCAGACGTCACCTAGTCTGGCTCTATCTCCAGAGATGTCCAACCCGTGGTAAATATCGTGAATCAAACGTAGAATAAAAGTTGTTGAAGGGATGGATTATCTTGAAAGGCCTGACCTCATCTCCTGTTGGTAAATCTAAGTCATCTGACAGAATTAGGTTTTACTTGTGTTGGTGAATGGACATCAGCAGCAGATAAAACAATGTCCTGAGTTTTTTTTAATTTTTGCACTGTTCCTGCTGTGTATTCTGGGTTGTACATACGTCTTTGTCAAATGTCCGTGCTAGCAACACGTTTCCCCTGGCTGTTGTGTGTAGATATCAAGGTTAAGAGACGGCAGCATGAAACTGAAACACATCAGTGAATCAAAGGCATTTCTGTGGGCTGGTGTGTTACTGAGTTAAACTGCTGCCTGCTGTTCTGGTATGTGTTCTGATTTTTGGAGGAAAAATGCAGTTAAGAGAGGATGTGGGGGGCTGGAGTTTGACTCCCTGGGTCAGTGAACACGTGTGAAAACTACAGATGATCCTCCTGAACAACTGTCTGTTATAGCAGCTTCAGAGGAAGCATGGTTGGATTTATCGGCTCTTTTTTTGTTCGCAGAATGAACACACCATAAAAGGGTATTTCATAGACACAACCAGTGTCAGTTCTGCCCCTTGAAATCATTAATTAGAGAAGGACAACTGTAGCGTAGGTGACCTTGCTGCGCTCGATACTGTTTGGTATGTTCTGCTTCCGTCTCTCTGTCATAGTGGGATCGTTTGGTATGTTCTGCTTCCGTCTCTCTTTCATAGTGAGATTGTGAGAGATTTCAGGAGCTTCCTGAACAACAGCAGATGGAATTTACTGGACGATAACAGGGATTCAAGGTTGTAAATGGAGGCGTTCATTACCTCACTCATTTATAAAAAAGGATTCTGAGGAGGTTATATCTTTGGTCCAGAGGTCGTGAGAAGGCTCAAGGTCAGAAGATCTGACCTCTGTCTTTAAGACCAAAAACATTATTATAAGTACATACGTACATAAGTATTGTCTGACTNTTCAGTATTGCTTCCAGGTGTTCTCACAAAATTCTCAGCCAAATGAAGAAAAAGAGAGAACTGTCCTCACTTATTCAAACATAAATAGACAAAGAGTTAAAGTGCACCATATTGTTTCTAAGAAAGTCGATAACCTTAAAGGTCTAATCTTGCTTTTGGGATAAAATACTTGTTTGAACATGATGAGATCTTGTCTTTTCCAGGTTGTGAGGACATTGTTTTGGAAAGCCTGGCGCTGGATTCACTGGTCCCCATCTTGAAGTGGAGCTCCCAGCCCTACGGCTCAAAGTGGGTCCACAGGCAGGCCATGCACTTCCTCTGCGAAGAGTTCAGTCAGGTCGTGTCTTCGGACGTTCTCTACGAGCTCGGCAAAGAGCACCTCCTCAGCGCAATTCAGTCAGACTACCTGCAGGTGAGGAAACAAAATGTCATCTGTCAATCTCCTGTCACACTGCTACACGTTTGGTCATTTTCTGCTGCGAGGTTCTAGTAATGGGTTCTTTTGCACTGGTTGATTGGTAAAATGGACGAAACACACACACACACACACACACACACACTCAGAGGTCTTCTGAGTTAAATCTAAGGAGGTGACTCAGAGCCCAGATCAAATCTGTTCTGTCATCTGTCTGCCAAACTACCTGGACTTCTTACCATGTGGTTAGGGGAAGTGTTTAAGTCCATCTGTTCACATAAATCTTCCAGGCTCCGTCTGTGCACGGGCAGAGTAAACACACTGTATTTTCTCCTTAGCCATATTTTATTTTATTTTATTTCAGTTTCTGATCGTATCTGACCTTGTCCTATTTCTCAAATCTGTCTTTTTGTCTGTACCTTGCTCTCATTCACAGGCGAGTGAACAGGACATCCTCAAGTATGTTGTTAAGTGGGGCGAGCAGCAGCTTATTAAGAGGATGGCAGACAGGGGTAAGATAATACACTCTGTAATTACCATCTGAGCAGCCTCCCTAATAGTTCTGAGGAAATTACTGACTCATCAGATCCATCCAAGATGTACGCGAAACCTGTTGCGAGTAGAAGATAAACTTTGACCTCCAAATAAAACCAGCGGAAATTAATTAATCGGACATTGCTGGTAACTCTCACCTAGTTAGCAGCTCCATCTAAAAAAAGGTTTAATGGTCAAGAGCTTCAGTCTTCACAGATGACTCCCATCAATCCCTATTTAGATTTAACCATCCGCTAAATAGAACCTTCATTATGATTATGAAAAATAGGCAGCGTGCAGATTTACAAGCCTTAAAAGTATACTGTCGGTTGCATAAGTAATCACATACACATTTATAAATAGGCTGCAAATGGCTCTTTTCTGTCCTCATTTACCCAGAGCCCAACCTGTTAAGTGGCACAGCTCACAGTGTGAACAAGAGGGGAGTAAAAAGGAGAGACTTGGATGTGGAGGAGCTAAAAGAGATCCTGTCTCCCCTGCTGCCCTTCATCAGAACCGAGCACATCCTACCCCACAACAGCGACGTTCTCACGGACGCGGTATGTACAAACACGCTTCCTTTTTTTTCTTTCCGTCGTTACGCAAACATTAGTCATATGACCCGATTAACCAGAGTATTGATGCAGATTTATCACCTTTTTTTTTCCACAGTTAAAACGGGGTCTGATAAGCACCCCTCCCTTGGACATGCTTCCCACTGCTGAGGGCGGGAAAGCCAACGACTGGTTACGGCAGAAGAATGCAGGCATCTACGTGCGTCCCCGTCTGTTCTCTCCTTATGTGGAGGAAGCGAAGGCAAGTCTCGTTCACGCTGATAAACGCTGCTTCCAGACGGTGCAGAAAGCGGAGTTTAATTTGTGTTCCTTACAAGAGTCATTAAAAGAGCAGAGGCTCTGTAAGGACGGGCTAATCAGCCAGAGTCTCGCTGCTTGTAACTCTGCAAGTCCAATTACCTGCCATATATATGCACCACTTTCACCAAAGCCGGTCATCACTTTGACTGAATTTGATTTTATGTCTCTTTGCACACTTTCCCTAATAACTTCAAACCACCATTAATATTTATGAACTCCTTCGCAGACCAGACGTAGAGTCATTTCTAGATTAGGTGTCAATCAAGTCCAAACAATTTGCAAGCATTCTCCATGTCCTTGAGTTATACATAGATGGATTTGTAATGAGTTTTGGGTCTCACGTGTCCACTCCTGTCTACCTGTCCTCAGTCTGTACTTGGTGAGATGATGGTGGAGCAGGCGGACATGGCGCGTTTGCGCTTAGTGCGTATGTCGAATGTCCCAGACACACTCTACATGGTCAACAATGCCGTGCCTCAATGCTGTCACATGATCAACCACCAGCAAATAGCAGGAAGCTCAACAACAGCGCCCTCAGTTGTGGCCAATGAAATCCCAGGTAAGAGAATGGGAAGAGAACTGTGCTGATATAAGAACATATCCAAAAACTTCTCAAATATTCTGAAACGTGATTCCGGTTTGTGGCCTTTTCTGAATTCCCGGAGAATCCAAAAATAATGTTTGATGTCAATAACGCAGTCTTAACCTCTATTATCAAGTATCGCCAAATAAGAACATAAGAACATTTGTTACCGTATCTGTGTGTTTTTCAGTGCCACCACTGTCTGTGGTGAAGGACATGATCCGCAGGCTCCAGGAGCTGAGACACACGGAGCAGGTCCAGAGAGCGTACGCCCTCAACTGCGGCGAAGGAGCCACGGTCAGCTACGAGCTGCAGCTGCGAGTGCTGAGGGAGTTCGGTCTGGCAGATGGAGCCACAGAGTTGCTGCAGGTTAGCAGAAAACAGAGAATTCATTCCCCAGAGGTCAGAGTATCCCAGAAACTGTCTGTTCTGGGATACTTGGAGAATAGGGTTAGGCCGAGGACACAGACAGACCTCAGGAATTCAGCTGACACAGGCCTTAAACAAACCCAGTCAGATAAATCTTGTGAAAATCTTAAAATATGTTTTTCCTTTGTCAGCACCAGCATGCATACAAAATCCTACGCTTTTGATTTTAAAACTATCCCCAAACATAAATATTAAAATATAGAATTGGTGATGACCTTTAACCTCAAATTATCATATAAAAGGACAAGGAAAAGACTTGTGTGTTTTCACAGACTAACATAATTCTATATATTTAACCTAAACTAACTCTCAATCTGAAACAACCCTGGACTGCAGGCAGATCAGTCGAGCCACACCTTAATGATTTTTGTAAATGGGTGGAGTTGTTGTGGGAAGAACCTAATTGCACTTTTGCTCAGATTTGATGGATGACTTCCTCTTTGTCATTTTTCAAGTGTGTATTGTGGTGATAAGGATTTCCCTACGTATTTAGAATCCCATGTGACGATGTCAATGTGAAACATTGTTCCTAAAGTCACAAATAATTCTTTCAACACAAATTACCGAGCCACTACCCGCCCTTGTCTTTTTTTTTCATATCTAATTAAGCATTCACGGACCTGGTCAAAAAATATTTGTCTGACCCGTTCAGCCTCATCTGATGAACTTTTTGTAGCATGTAGTGGAACCATCAGGTTAAAAAACACCTGTAAAGTCTTTTCTCTGTTACATAACGTTTCTGGTCTATATTCAAACCACACCATTTAGTTTTTACAACATTTCAGGAAGTTGACTTTTTGGAAAATGTGCCAGTGAAGCTGATGCCTGGATGCTTTCATGTGGTTTTCTTCAGAACCCATACAAGTTCTTCCCTGACGAACGGTTTGGAGATGAGAGTCCAATTCTGGCTCTGCGCCAGGTGGGTCGATGTCGGGTAAACAGCAGCCCAGCCATGGATAGCATGTTCACAGAGCTGGAAGGAGTTGCTGGCTTCCACCCTCCTCTTCCTCCCCCACCTCCTCCCTACCATCCTCCCGCCACACCCAGCCACGCGCAGCTTAAGGGCGCTTGGCGACCCCGTGTTCCCTTGCCAACCCCCACCCGTTCCTTTTCCTATCCCTGCAACCGCACCCTGAACCAGCGCCATGCAGCTGCCAAGCATGGCAGCTCAGAGTACTCCTCCTCTGTGCCCAGGCCCCAGCCCCCAGACTGCACCAACCCGCAGGCCATGGGCCGAGCTTTGCTTTCTGATCAGCAAGCGGTGAGTGTATGTGCAACGTCCTGAAGTCCCTGTCTGCAATTTATTTCTCCACATCCTGATCGTTAGTTTGCTTTTCCGTGGCTCGGTCGTCAGTTCACATCACATATTGTACTCTCTGTTGCAGATGGGCTTGGAGCCCGTAATGAGGGAGTTCATGCCTGACATTGCACTGGGGGTTTCAGTCATGTCGCTGAGGGAGCAGCACATGGTGGAGATGGACAGAGACAGCCCTCACAGCCCAATGGGTCCCTCAGGTCATCATCTGCCTCACGGGCCCTGCCCTTCTGCCCGCCACAGCCACAACCACAGCCACAGCCACGGCCACGCTCCTGGTCACGGGCACTCCTGTAAGAGGCATGCTCCTGAACCTAAGCTGGAGGCTCAGGCTGAGTTCCCCGATCTGTATGACTTCTCCTGCCGACCCGCAACACCGACATCCGCCCACCCTCTGCCCTCCTTCGTAGGACCGGACCTCTACAGTCACAGCTGCACCCCCTCCAGCCCTTATCCACCACCTTACATTTCAGACTCTCAGTCCCAGGGCCACCTGCAGGGACGGACTGCTCCTTCAGACCCGCTGAGGCTCGATGTGCTCAGTATGACCTCTCAGAGACACGATGGAGTCCTCGCCAGTCCGTCTGGGGCTCAGCCCCGAATGGCGCACATTTCAAGAGGGAGATCAAATGAGACAGATCTGACCCACGGCTTGGGCCATTTGCGGTCGCCCAGCGGTAACATGGACAGCTACGAGGAGAGGCACATCGGACTCAGAGATGCACAGGAGGACATGGTCCTCTCTGGAGAATCGCCAGGTTCCGTCCAGCAGCCTCACAGGAACAGTGTCAGTGAGGAGATCGCCAGAGACCGCAGGTCACCCAGCAAACCCGACTACCCCTATAAGAAATCCGCACTTTAACCCCAGCCAAGGGCTCAGGGTTGATTTAAGAAAAAGGGAAAAAGTGATTTGTGCTTGTCCATCATAATGGTCTGCAAAGCACTAGTGTGTGTCTGGGTGTTCAGTGTGTGTGTGTGTTTGACAAGAGCGGGGAAAAAAGGGGTTTAGTTGATGGTTTGCTATTTATAGGCTCTGTTCTTTTGTCCTACCTCTATCACTCTGTGCCATCAGTCACACAGTCAGGGCGTGGAAAGAGGAAGATCTATAGGTCGACAGTGTGTATAACATGCTATAACATACTCTGTGTACGTCTGCTCTGAATGGCTGTTTTTACAGGATGACTCAGGCTCCACTGGGCTGGTCCGGATTGTAGCGAGTGATTGTGTGTTGAAGGTGTGTTAATCCTGCACGATGAGGTCGAAAAACTAGATGCAGCTCAGTTATGTTGAACAAAGACTCCATTCATCGGCTGCTCTGTCGCTTGATTATTTTCAGGATAGAATAGGAAGATGGCTGCACGGAGATCTCACTTTACACAGACAAACAACGGCAACCAGTGCAGAACAGAGTATTGTGGCGAATTGATATGTAAATACATCTGGCTGTTCTCTTTCCTCCCATGACTTGTGTTTCCATTTCTTCCTGTAGCATGCCTACAGCAACGCACCTGACTAGTTTTCCCCCTGCTGGCTGTGGTTCTGCAGGGCCGCTGAGTAATTGGTCTAGGTTTGGTCACACAAAGCAGGAATTGGATCCGACAGGAAGTAGGTCATCAGAGCTCGTCATCCTCCAGAAATCCACTCAGATAATTGTGTTAGGCTTCAGCTATCACAGTCTCTCAGTGTCTAGCTCCCAGGCAGGAGCCTGGTAGTTTTTTTGTTTTTGTTTTTTTTTGTTTTTTGCTGAGGACAGGAAGGAGCAGGAGGATCATGGATAGGTCTGTTAGTAGAAATAAAAATAAAAGGGTGCCATGGCAACTGACTGTCATGGGGTGTGTATGTTTGCAGCTGGAGCAGGTGTTCTGTGCGTGCGGGTGTGTGTGTGTGCATGAGGACAACTTTGATACACACAGGTGTTTAGACAATCTCAGTACTGTACACTCCCATCTTCCGTCAGGTCTGTTTGTACATATCAGAGCGTCTCTTTAGCACAGAGCGGTGGTCAGTCTGCAGAAGTTCCCTGGTCTGTTTATCACTAGCAGCAAGTAATCTAACGTAACAGCCTTAACCAGAGCTTGGAATATTCAGTTGTTAGCTGCATTTATTCACTTTAGCATGATGTCATTATATCACAGCCCCTGTTAATGGTTTATTTGACTGTTCTGCTCACCACACATTCATTTACTGCACACGATCTTTGCAGTAGAGCGGGTTTTCATCCAAACCCAGATGCTGACGAACGCACGTAGACACCATCTCTCACCTCATGGACAATTGTGGACCAGCATATTCAGTACTGTCAAATATACTGTTAAAAGTGCCGCAGAAGCTGTAGCTCCAAAACCCTGCAAGTCCATGCATAAAAGCCGGTCGCGACCAGCAGCTGGCGCACAACCTCACATAAACGCATATACGTTGCACTGTAGGAGCCGCCTGTTCAGTAGCAGAAGGGGAAATAGAACAAATATGAATATCGGACAAAAAAAAAAAAATTCAAAATAACAATATGGTCTCGTATTGATGAGAAGTTGGCGATTGCGGGCTCATATCTCCAGTGGTAAATTGTATATAATGGATTGAGCTCCAACGTGTTCTGATGAATTTTTATTGGTTTCCATCATATTTTAGTGTTTGTTGAAGCTTCTTTTTTTTTTTTTTTACTGTAGTGAACAACACTGTGTATCTGTCTTTGTCACGATCTCTCACTAAGAATGTGTGGTATAAAATGAAATGATTGTGTCCGAATCCATTATGTTTCTAAATGTCAGACTTTTAGAGCAGTCTTTTCAGTGTCGTGGGTGGTTTTTGGACTTCTATGTTTGTACAAACGTCCTTCCATTTCTCTTAACTTCAAAAGTAAAAGGAACCTTTAAAGGATCTGCTTAGCGGTAATGACTTGAGCAAGCAGAATAATATTTTACAGTAGGTTGCTTCATAAGGAAAAAATTCAAAACTTGTGATGCTTCCCCATGTTCTCGTTGGGTAGTCATTTTATTTTCCAGGACAATGTTCAGTTGGATTGATGCTCTTGTTTTGCTCTTTGCTGTAGAAAAGTCAGTGCCTTCCCCCGCCTGCGGCCGGGCTTTTATTGGAGAAGTGACTTCCATGTCTATGCAAGCTCTTTTCTACCAGCTGACCAGCCTGCATCAAAGTTCTTTGGAATCTCATGTAGCTTGTTTTCGTGTACAGTGTTATTTTTAGCACCTTTTTTTTCAGAAAACAGAAACATCCTTAATGTGTGGTTGCTTGTGTTGAATCCTAACAGGTACGTTGTACTTGTATTGTAGAGAACATGTTTGTAGATCGATATTGAGTTGCATTTAGTTTCACTGAATCTATTTTTCTACTGTCGCCTGAAAGGGTGCGTAACAGTGGTAAACTTGGACAGACTACAAAATAAACTGGTTTGATATTAAAGGATTCTCTCGGCCTTGTTTGTGCTTCGACAACTGAATTACACAATCGAACTTGGAGCTCATCGAAGAGTGGATGGTAGCCTTCGTACATGTTTTAAATGATGTTGCACCTGCAGAGCAGTGGCCCAGGAACCATTAAATATTTGGGATTGGAGCTAAATGCAGTCTTGTGGAGGGTCCACATGTCTTTTCTCGTTTTAAAAAATATCTCCATACTTTTTGGTGCAGCTAGCATAAAGAAGACTGTTTTCTTCTCTGTCTATTGTAACTTTTTAACTGGCTGATGCATTACCACCACCATGTGGCCAAATGCTGCATTATAACTGATCTTCTTATCAATAACATCAATGGTGTCTTCAGTTGATAACCTACCCACGGTCTGGGGTTGCGGCCTTAAGAGTACGACTCACTGCCCTTTATTAATACACATCCAGATGAATAAAGAATAATTCCCACTTATTTTATTTATTAAGATCATTGTATTGTATCAATGCACAGTCATCACTAAGTTTCAGGAGAAAATTTAAGGCATCACTATGTTCCAACCAAATCCACACAGTCGTGTCAGAGATCTCAAGGCAGCATTTTAAAGCAGAAGGGATAAAGGTTCCTTTAACCATAAAAGTTCAAGTATAAGTTGCAGCAACAAAATGGCAAAAGTGTCATTTTGCACAGAACATTCATTTCTGAGAAGCACCATAACAACGTGGCACTACGGCAGCTGCGCGGCCTCCTCTTCACTGGTACCCCGCGTTGGTCTTGCGTCTTTTGGCATACAGCTCCTCGAACAGCTGATTCACATCTTCAACTGTGACCACCTGAAGGAAACGGGGAGGAGGTGAGTCAGGCAGACATACAGTACAAGAAGAACAGCGTCCAGAGAATTCACTGCAGAGATGGAACATGGCTAATCAAGTGGACGGTGGCTAAGAGCAGCGAGACGTCTACTTCTCTCACCTTTCCTTCAGCAGCATGCTGATCCACAAATGCCCCAATGGCCGACTTCAGCTCGTTAAAACCTGAGGAAAGAACACGTGCGGTGTGTGATTCTCTAGACCTCGTCAGGACAATCAATCACCTCTCTGTTAAATTTCACTTCACACAATTACATCATGACCTCACGGCGTGTCACCGCACACTGCTCACACTCACCGTAAATGACCTCCAGCTGCTGCACCCGGTCCAACGAGCTCGTCAGTAGCATTAGCGGATGCTGCCCAAACGGTTCAGCCCGACCTTTGTTCTCGTAGGACAGCATGGTGTCGGACTCATCCATGAGAAACTGCACTTCAGCCGCCACGTACGACCGCTTTGTATAGATGTGTGGGTACAAAGAGCGTGGGTTTTGGTTAAACATATATACACACACCTAAATATATACACACACACACTATATCTATCTATATATATCTCTATATCTATACCAAATGTGTTTATATGTATACATATATACAGTATATACACATGTATATATATGTGTGTATATATACACATATATAAACAAACCGCATTTGGTAAAGTTTATGAATGCAATAAAAGAAACAATAAATCTGTTTTGTTAATGCCTTTAAACCCTCAGAAGGTACAGAAAAATGGCTTTTAGTTGTTCTGCTGATTCTATTTCCTATTGGCTGTTTACTTTTTAATGAAGCTAAGAACAGGTCTTGACCCCACCACACCCTGGGAACCCCTGTAGTACAGCATATAAAAATAGCCGCTCTACATTTTTTTGCATTTTGAGGAAGTGTTTCAATGTTTTTGGAAATGAGGTTTGTGTGTCCTGGTAAATTTAAACAAGATCAACATGGAAAACAGGCCAGTAGCAGGATGGTGCCCTTTTCTAAAGCCAATATTTTAACATGTGAACTCATTATTTGTGACCTACCTTGCAGTTTGTGCAGGTGCAAAGCTCAGAACGCCAACTATCAGGCCAAAACACTGCTCCCTGTCTTGGCCGCTCCTGTCCTGGGAGGTTCTGCAGCTCCTTCAGCCTACAGGCCTCAGTTTTGCTCAGGGCTTTGCCAAGACAAGCTGTCATCTGCTCATGTGTCCGTTTGCAAAGGGTTCTTCCGTCTGATGCCTGCTAAGATGCAAAAGAAAAGAGAAAGAGAGAGAACACTACATGAATTATAATATATGGGTGAATTATTATCTTAAACAGGAAATAACACCTGGGAATAGAAAAAAAATCTCGGCACCCATCGGTGCAGAACTGATCAGTGACAGTAGCACTGAAATGATCAGGTGATCAAATCCCCAGTTTGTCATGTGGTACCATCTGCAGAGCATAAGAAGCAGTGCCTCATGGGTCATTTCTCCTGTAATTACCCAAAGGAGGGGAAGCACGGGAACATAGTTTTGAACCGTCTGTCTGGGACATAATCTCCCCGTTTACTCTCCAGCCCCATCTAGTGGAGGAAGGTGTTAAATCCCACAGAACTCCTGCTCTTGTTTTGTGTTGTTGCTCTGATTGAGTCAAGACTCAATTTTTGGTATTAAAATATTTTACCTTTTGTTTTGAATTACCACATTCCCCATTCTTCTGATATGAAATTTATGAAATATATTTTAAGATTTCGATTTTTTTTCTAGAAATATATTTTAAGATTTCGATTTTTTCTTGAGTTTGACTCAACAGACATGTTCCATTTTGTTCTTTAAATGATATTTTAGTTGAAGAAAATGGAAGTCACACACGTTTTATTAAGTCACATACATTATTTTGTCCAGTCAAAATAATAAAAAGTAAAAAAATCCAACTGTGATTAGCTGGACACAGCAATGCTATATGACACTAATGAAAATAGAACTGTGGGCCTATGTAACCACATGACTGTAAAATAATCTAAAAAGAATAATGTTCTGTTTATTAGTCTCCTAAAACTCAAACTGCTCTAGTAGAAAAAGGACCATAAATAGGGACTGACCCATAAAAACATTTACCCATCAGTCATTTAGCACTTTAAATAGATTAAAGGAGACATACATTTAATTAATATTATCTAGTGTTCTAATAACCTACTGGTTGAGACTGCAGAACAGCTCCATCTCTCACCTGCTGGCTTTTGTGGTCAACACTGTTAGACGGTCCCTTGCCCTCATGTTGACTGCATTCACGGGCGTCTTCCTCGTCACCTTGTCCTACAACATCAACATCAACCTCCGTCTCCTCAGTGGGACGGACTCCGATCCCAGGGGGCGCTGAAGGGAAGAGATGTGATGTTTTGTTGTCATAAATGTCGAGGTCAACCCATGTACAGCTGAGGAGGATGGGTTACCTGCAAAGTGAGCTGCATACGTCCACAAGAAGGGAGCCCTGTTCATGCAGGCTTCACATACCATCTCCTGCAGGTCTTCAGGGTCTTCAACAGGGCAGCCCAGGTGCTGGGACAGAGGGAGAGAAAATGAGTTAGTGATGTATGTGACTCAGAACAGAGTCAGTTAAAGGAGGTGAATAAATGCTCACTCTGCTGTGGAACCAGTCCTCACAGATGACACACTGAATCATCTCATCCTGATCCTGTGAGATAATGTTTGGATAAGAGGACAGATGAGACACTCAGACACCTTAAACAGAAGGTTTTACTGCTGTTGAGACATGAGAAGGACGGTACCTGATTTTCTGCATCTGGGTATTTTTGGTTACATGTGCAGTAGAGCCCACTGAAGTTGTGATTGTAGTGATTTTGGGCATTTTCTTTGTCCTTGTCCTGTGAATACAATCAGTAGAATGACATCTATCATCAGCAAATGCACTGAATATGATGTTAAATAAAAGTAGCTGCAGGACTTACAGGACTCAGCTGACACTTAAAATCCCCAAACTTGTCATTTCCACAGTCACAGCGAAAGTTCCTGTAGAGAACACACAAAAAAAACCACATTAAAGCAAGGACCATAACACTCGTTCAGTACTAGTATACACGCAGTACAGAGATATCAAGTACCTTTTAGTGTACAATTCAAAAATATCGTGTCCATCGTGGCATTTATTGGCACACGCCAGACAAATCCCAGCAGGCTCTGCTGCACTGGGAGTGCAAGTGTTGCAGGCGAACACAGCCTGTCTCTTCACATAGCCCTGCAAAAACACACAACCAATTGACATGAAAATATAATATACTAGTTATCAGTTTTTCCAGGCCGTGATGGCTCAGTGGTTAAGAAAGCAGACTTGGGTCTGGAAGACTTCAGGTTCAAGTCCACGAGCTGCTCCACACTGCTCCCTGGGCCCTTCTTCTACAATTTCAGCTTTTTAAATGTATATTTGTTTGGTTCTTTTTCATTGTTATGATGAAAACATATTTGCCTTCATAAGAAAATTAATTCATGTCTAAATAATTAACATGCGATCTATGTTTGACGATTTAACCAATCCCTTGTTGTTGATGAAACTTATAATCCAAACAATGTATAAGAATTCACCAAATACTTGCGTGAAAATAAAAAATATGAAATAAAATTTTTTGTATGTACTTCAATACAACTATAATCAAAATGTGATGATAAAATGAATACACGTCCTTCCTCTCACAACGTAAACTTCCGGCATAAAAACCGAAAGCTGCAGTGGTAACATGTAAAAGTGTGTTACACCAATGGGTACAAAGAAAAAATAACGTAATAAACGTAAAGAAAAAACAAAAAACAGAACACGGACGTGTAACATCTACAGATGCAATACTTGCATTTGCAGTAAAGCACTTTACTTTATTTTAAACACAAAACACACCAGCAATGACAAGACTCACTCTACGACATACTTAATAAAGGTGTAATCTGCAGGGTGGTTGCGGTTCACTGCAGGAATGTTCTCTTACCCGCGAATATGAGCAGTTTTCTGGGTCACTTCCTCGCAGCACACACAGAGCTTCCTCCAGATCTTCTGCACAGGGATCGGTCTCAGTGTTGAGGACGGAGTTTGCTTCGTTTTCAGCCATTCTGTTGGAAATTACACAGCAAGAGGAGTGACCCACAAAGACAGTCAGTCAGCAGCTGGACGAGACTGTTGGTAAACGACGGTTCCGGGCGCGAATTTGCGCTAGAACCACGTGGAGGAAGTGACGCCACATGCAAATTGTTACTGATCAGCGGGAAGAACCTCCTGAAAAAGGAAAGAACATTCTGTTGTTTTTTATTTTAATATTTAACACTGACTTTCTCCACCAAAACATACAGTGTTATATTGACAACAATTAACCACCTGTTTATCTTTTCTGGTATGTTTTACAACCACCTCATTAAGGCCTAGTAGCAAAACAAACCGTGCCTAGCTAGTCAAAAACACTGAAATGTAAGTATACAGCTAACAGATATATCCGGGGTTGTTGAAACAAACAACAACAAAAGAATGTAAAATACATTTAATATAACCACAAAACATTTAAAGCGAACAAAAAGATACCAGAAAATTACAAACAGTCCAACATAGAAGTTTCTTTAAGTTAACAGACATAAAACAAAATTGAGTTAGCCCGAAGTTATGAAAGCTGGAAAGATGTCTGACAGAATTAGCCGAGATGTAAAATTAAAATGAAGGTAAAAAAAGAAATAATAAAAAACATCTAAATTTTAGCTTTACGTTGGTGTACAATTATATCATGTTTGCCGCAATTGCATTGGATTTTTAAAATTTGCCTAAAAATCATCAAAATCAATTTTGGTATTCAAATATTTAAAAAGAAGATTAAAAAAATAATATTAACTGTATGGGACGTCAAAAATTAAAATAAATGTTATAAAATAATAATTACAATTACTTACCACCTTAATCAATACTTTTACACTCGTAAGGATTAAAAGAGGAAACAAAATTACCCAGTAAGTCAACCTGTCCCGATCGTGGATTACCCTGAGAAGAACTGAAACTGAAATGGCGTCTCGTGTTCCCTCAGCCTCGAGCACCGTCTGTTGTTTTTGTATTGTTTTGTGCTTTGTGTTTTTTGCTTGTTTTGTTTTTAAAACATGTCTCCATTGTGTAGATAATCAGTGTTTTTCATAGTCTACCTGATTATTTTTTAGACTTTTTTCATAGTCTACCTGATTATTTTTTTATTTTTTAGACTAAAAAAAAAGCCATATATGGGACATGACCTTGCTTTCTGAAGGGGAGGGTGTCAACGTGAAACATGTTAATTATAAAATAGTATCGACGTTTCCCAGGGTAACCCAATGAGCCCTGTCAAAAAACAATTACTTTTATTAAAATCAATATATATCATATTTTCTTTATTATGATCTGCCTGATAATGCTTGATTACAATGTACGCATAGGAAAAGAATTAGCTCATAAACATTATAGTTTTATTTATATAAAAATACAAGGTTCATGTTTTTGTTTATGTAATTATAATACAAGCATGTGTTACATTTTATTCCCCACTTGGCGTCGCCACTGTGCAGTTGCGGTCTGAACATCTAGGCTTAATTGAGGCAAAACAATTCACTGACCACTGGAGGGCGCTCACGTGGCAGTTTAAATTCTAATGAAGAACTTGTATGACTGGTGTTGGCAGTAAATCAGGAGAAACTAGATTCAGACTTCACTTCACTGATCGCATTTTTCATGTATTTTGGAAACGAAGTCTGGCAAATACGAACTATAGAGCAGGTAAATACGATAGAAACTGGCTCACCAGGAAGTCCAAGTCTTATATTAAAGGCGGGAAGATAATGAATCATAATAAAACCAGACAACAACAACAATATATATTAAACAAGTCTTGTTTTATTATTAGATCAAAATTAACCAACACTGACTCTGGTCGCCTTTATAAATATTTAAAACTGTATCTTCTTTTGACTTTCTGTAATATTGTTTTTATTTGTATTTATTATTTTATGAGATGTGTTCATTCACTAACATTGTAAATACCTTTTTTTATAGCCCAGCTATCTTTTAAGTTTGGTAATGAATATTTTGACGAAGTGATGCGGAGAGCATACTTTAATTTTAAATCATTTGTTTTGTCGTATATGTTGTTTTTGTCTGACTATATAAATGCAGAAAAAGCAAGATGTTGGACACAGACAAAACATTTTATTTTTATTTACCAAAAAGAACGTGTTAACTAATAGGATTATATCAGCCAATACACATTTTGTTTTTATGAACCCGTAGTTATTACGTAGTAAAGTGCTGCGCCGTTCAGCTCAGAATTATTTTTAAACGATGAACTGCATTTACTATTCAGACACAATTCTATCTCCACTAGTTGACGTTTGCCTGGAATGATACGTAAGACAATTGTGGGAGTGTTGGGGTTTTTTTCCGAGGCAGCCGCGAAGGCAGCACCAGTCTCCCGGAGCCTGGGTGTGTGCAAGTCACTTCAGCTCATACAGAGAGAGAGAGAAAGAGAAAGAGAGAAAGAGAGAGAGACTGAGGCAGAGACAGAGGCTGAGAGGGAGGTGAAAGACACACCAGGAACCAGTCTTTCTCTCATTATCTCTGTGAAAACTTAGTCTCTTCCTCCAGCACACGGACAGAAATGGGAAACAATGAGAGTTAGCTTGTGAAGAGGACGCTCTAACGGAGGGGAACTGCGCTGAAACTAACAGGTTAGTTCAGCCCAAAAACACACCGCGTCTCGCTGCCAGCTGTATTCGCAGTCATGTCACTGGCTTCATCTCTTAGCTGAGTGAGCCCCCCGCTGGCCGCCATTCTTACTTGGCTCATTTGGCAAATGTAAAAGGGTTATGTCAGGCTGTTTAGCTGTGGCCTGTTTAATATGCAGGGTAGCCTTCGTTTCCCTAATTGCATGCCATCGCTGAGCTCGGGAGACTTGTCACTGCTCAGCTAGCCTGTTAGCGTTAGCAGTTGAGCTAAAGGGGGTCAGAGTGTATGAGAGTATGTGTCAATAGCTGATGAGTTTACTGTAATATTTGGAGACTGCCGCTACAGACGTGTGCGTTAATGTACAAACAACATTTTGTTAAAAAACGTCCAGTGAAGCGTCGCCTTGTTTTGGCCGCTGTGAGACTGAAACGTGACGCGGTGGTGTCCCCGGTTCCCTGCCTCCAGGTTGATCCCTCACTTCGTACCGTCTGACTCCAGAGAAGGAGCAGCAGCAAAGTGGAGATGCAGACCTTCCTAAAAGGCCGAAGAGTCGGCTACTGGCTCAGCGAGAAGAAGATGAAGAAGCTCAATTTCCAGGCCTTCGCCGATTTGTGCAGGTACGTGGCCATGTCAAATCAGAACGTTATTTGTGTAGCGGATTTAAATCGAAATAATGTTACTGTACTTTGCGACGTATCATAATATGATGGTCCGCGCGTGTATAGATATGTGTATACATATACACGTAGACGAAAGCTGTTTGTTTATGTTAGTTAAATAAAACACAGACGCTGTGGGAGTTGGTGTTTGTTGCAAAACCCTCTGAACTTGTATAATAATAGAAGAGGAAAATAGAACATATTCATGTTTGACACGTCAATTCAAATCGCCCTAAGATAAGTATTTCCTGTTTGGACTAATTACTGGGTTAGTGTTAACTCGACTAATTACTAAAATATTTCTTTGTTGCATGTTGCAACAACTTTAATATGTAGCATATTGTTTAGCCTCTTACTCAATTACAAAGAGTTGGAATTTAACAATATATTGCTATAGGAATAATTGTTATATAATATAAATAATAATTGTTACCAATAATGGTTTTTCCCAACTGAATTTACTAACAATTTTGATATTTCACATTCATAGAGTTTCCCTGTAACAAAAGATACCGAAAACATTAGTGATTAGAAATGACATGGTGCGTTAGGCAACGTTTCAGAACCATATCGTCAGATGATGAAACCTCCAATAATTGTGAAAATACAAACTCTGACACCTGCTCGGCGCAGTGTCATTAAATTCCTTTGCACGAGGAACTGATATCAATGCTTTGGCCACTGAGGCTTTACAGACATGTTAATATGACCACCTGTTGACTTGGCAGACTCTTGACACCACTAGACACTAGGGTGAGGCATTAACTAAAGGCTGAACAGTAGTTTTATTTATGGTGTGATAAATCAGTAACATAATTACTCTACCCCGCAATAAATCATTTCTTTTATAAATGTAAAAGAAATTACACCTCCTGCTATTTCAAATACATCCTGGAGTTAAATATCCAGTACACAATGATCAACCCAGAGAGATGTGTATTTTGAAGTAAGTTGTGAGCATGTGTTTCTTAATTGAAATAATCCTAGATTTGAAGCATGGTCACATTTCACACGGTGAGAAAGCAGCACTTGACATCATGCAGCCACACATTTGGTCTGCATCATTAAAAATTCATGTCACAGGGAATTAAGAGGTGAGTTGTCAGACAATGACGAGGAGGACTAATGATCATCTCTCCTCTTACAGGAAATGACTCTTTTGCAGGTTGCACGACTACTTTCTCTTTCATGCTCACACTCAGGAATTTCCCTGTTTGTATCTGTTCAAGTGTCACCTGAAATTTCTGGCCCTGATTTGATTTTTTGTATTTATTTATTTTTATTCATTATATTTAAAAAAATTTTTTTATTTTTTTTAAATTCATAAAGTCATATTTCCTTTCTTGAGTCGCAGTGTCCAAAGCGGCCTCTGTCTTGACTTTTTGAAGCACAGGTTTGGTTTGTTATGTCTTCACTCTCTGCTTGTCGAGACATGGTGCGAGGAGGGAATGTGTGCAGGTCGAACCTCTGGTAGCAAATTAAACTGCCTGTGTGACAGGATAGACGGCTTCAAAAGGTGTTATTACCTGGACTGTTGTCCTGAAGTATTTCAGCTAAGGCAGTGGTTCTCAAACTGTGGTACACGTACCAAAAGTGGTATAACTCATTAACTCTGAAACATACCATGCACAATTATTAATTATTACAACATTTAGAAAAAATGTGTAGCTACTTGTGAGATTATGAAATAGGATGTTTGGCCTTTTTTTTTTTTTTTTTTTTGCTGCAGTCCCAGTCTGTTGCTCACGTAAGCACAGGCAGCACGGAATCATGGGATCAGTTGCAAGTTCAATGTGAGAGCTCAGTGTTTTCTCAGGTGGTACAGAGTATAAAAAGTTTGAGAACCACTGATCTAAGGTGTGGGTACTAGGATGTATACTCTGAGCATGTGTACTCCTACTGCACAGAATTGATTTGCAACCCTCACGTTATATTCTATTGATTGTTACTCGCCTTATAGGATTACAGAAGGACTCTGGTTCTTCTGGTCTCTAGATCAGTCAGAAGACACATTTATCCACAGCAGAAGCAAACATGGTAGACTTTATTTCCTCTACATTTGTGTAAATGTGGAGAACACCATGCTAGAACGTAGCTTTACACTTGAACGGTGTCACTTATTTAAACATGACAAGATTAGTCTTAGTTAGACTTGTTTGTTCTCTTTCGTTTAATCAGGCGCTGCTTGTGGTTTAAAGAGTAACATTACGATGGATTGTTATAGAGAATGCAGCTGAACACAGACACTGAAAGATGATACATCCTACTGTTAGCAACAGTGCAAATCAGGTCAGATACACGTCACCTTAACATCAGTCGGCATTTTAGTTTTGTGTGTTCAGACAACATTGATTTCTGTTCGTGCAAGTGCAGGAGTGAAGTTGGATAATTTATTGCTCTTGTTTTTGTGGTGTTTACCACGTGTCTGTGATTTTAGACACATGCTGTGTTGTTGATAATAAATATTTACATTATGTAGATAAAATGATATGATGATAATGCAAAGGAAAGGAAAGAAAAGTGAAAGTGAACTCCTTGTGACACAGAACACCACTGCACACAAGGAAATGTGACCTCTGCTTTGAACCCATCACCATAGTGAGCAGGGGGCAGCTTAAACTGCGCGGAGAGCATTGTGTGGGGACGGTGCCATGCTCAGAGCACCTCAGTGGTAACTTGGCAGCTGGTGGACTCGAACCTGAAACCCTCCTGGAGCCAGGTCTGCTTCCTTAACCACCAAGCCACCACTGCCCCAAAGAAGGACTCTACACATGATAGAATTACTTTATTTTTTTTAAGCGCAGCATTGTCATGCAAAAGGGATGTAGTTGTTGTCTATTCTGTATTTTTGTTGAGAGAGGAAGTTAGGTTATGAAAGGCAAAGTCTGACAGTGGCCTTATCAAATAAGATTGCAATTTTGGTTAGCTTTGTGTTTGATGTTGTAAGAAAGTGGGAGCTAAACTGCCAACGAAACGTAGCGCTAGCCTTTTTCTAATGAAGAACACTCTTCTCATTTTGTGACTAAGTAGTCAGGCTACTTATCGTTAGTTGATTATCTATCATTTTCAGTGTAGGCAGATCACTTACGCCTGGTCATTTAAATAATGGCTCCCAGACCAAAGAAGTGTGGGCACCCTGATCTACTGCCTTTGGACAAGAACGCATTTGTTGTGTGAACATGATTAACGGCCCATCACTCAGTTCACTCCTGTGTTTTGGTTGAGTTTGTTTTTGTTTTGTTTTTTGGTGAATATTTAAATATATTTAACTGAAATTTACTGTAAAAGGAAAAGGAAATAGCTGAGAGATACATGAACCACGTGTAGCTCCCATGGCATCTCAATATTTTACTCATTAGTGCCTAGGCTCACCCAGATTTTTCATAATTATAATTTATTTTTTTATCCAATAGCCCATGATATCGGTTCATGTCTTTGGTTCCTTCAGAGAAACATGTGCAGAAGTTTATTCTGGCTGTAAATTCAAAGAGAAGCGAATAATTTGACATTATGATACAATTGGACTTGATTAGGTTTTCTCTCGCTCGTCCTGCATGTTGCCTGAGTAAACAGGCCGCCTTGTCGGGTGCCTGCTGATTGGAGCACCTAAAGTTCAGTTGTTTGTGTCGCACCATTTACACAGTGTGTCTGTAGGCTTTGTCTAAACCCTAATTAGAAAAACCCTCCACCCTTAAAACAAATGGGTCAGTTAGAAGTGCTGATGAGGGGCATGAAAACATTCTCTTTATCCTGTTATCTTACTGTAGAAAAACAATGCTGATGAAATGTCTTTGAACGACTTTCTTGTGCGTGTTTTCTCTCCACTCAGTGATGTGATTAACCCAGTGAGAGGGAACTCCTTTAAAGCACTTCACCACTGAGATCTGTTCAACACCTAAAGAAAAGGTTGCTCTGATTTGTTTCCAAAGAAATGATGGGGGTAAAAAAAAAAAAGAATAACAGGCCGAACAAGTTAATCTGCCTCACCCTGTTGGAATCCCGCACCTGTTCTTTGTCTTACATAATGCTAATAATGTACTGCTCTGCCGCATTGATTATCAGCCACTCCTAAAGGAACCATAGAGTCAGAAATGTTGTCATAAAAATGTCCTTCCTCCGACCCGGTAGTTAAATGTCAATCAATGACAGTGGTTGTTTAAACCTTTTGTCTTCTTGTGTGTTAATCCCATTTTAAAAAGTTGTACGTGTGGCCTGCTCCGGCACCGGGTCGCCACCTTCATCCCCTTTTTTCATTCTGCCGACTGAATAGCAACACAGGAGAGCTGGCACTCACCATGTCTGAGATTGGACAGAACTAAAGGCCCCATTGACACCACATGAAACACTCCAGCTGCAGTATTAAATATCCACATTGTTGTGAAGCGCCGAATGGCCACACTGCTGTTACCATGGAGCCTGGACCTCAAAAACAACTGCCCCTGACAGGCTGTGTTGGTGGTAGTGCAGGACTGATTTAGCTCGCATTGTAAATTCTCTCCCAACTTGTTGAGTTGCTGGTTTTGTCCATTTAAATTTTAAACTTTTTTTTTTTTAGCTGTGGACACTTGAGAAACTGGTGTCACCAGAACTATGTTAATGTCTTTACTTCTGTGATTCACTCGGTTTTTATTTTGTTAATGACAAAACTGGAAACTGTTTCCTAATCTGTGCCTGTGATAGTTTGCATTTGTCGTTCATAAATTGTAATAAGAATACACCGTATTGTCGTTGTGCGCACACACACATTAAAATTAGGCCACCAGACACACACACACACACACATTAAAATTAGGCCACCATTAGATTTAATGTGCTTTGAAAAAATTCCACACTTTTTATCATGTCCTCTTGTTATGTCTCCTCTTTAGGTAGAAACTGTGGTGCATGACAGGATCAATAGTTCTAGGATTGTCAACTATTTAGTCTAGAACCTGATTTGTCAGCGTAACGGGTCTCTGTTAGGGTTACTGATAAGGATGGGGCTAGGCAGTAACTGGTTTTGGTTGAGGTGAGTGTTGAAATATTTTTCAAGGTGGGACAGATTTGGGTGTTGCTGAAACACCCAAGGACAAAGTGCTCCTCCCATGAAACTGAGGATCAGCATTTGGTTAGAATTAGGTCAGGAAGGACGGGAGTTGTCTGTGGTCCAATGTCTCTTAAAAAAAAAATATTTAAACCATTCAAACATTTTTTTTTTGCAATTTAAGTCAGATAAGACAAAGTTGAGCCTCTCCCTCCCCCCTCAGTGTGATTTACTTCAGAGAAAAAAATGAATTAACTTATTAATAATACGTATATATATAATAATATTAATTTTTAACTGAAGTTGACAAAAAACCTATGTGCACCAAGTGAAAAGAACCAAAAAAAAAAAAGTATTAAAGCTTAGTAAAGTCCAAAAAGATGTGATATAACTTTAAAAAGCCATTGAAAAACCTCAGTTTAAAAAGAATTGACCAACATTAAGCAGGGACAGAACGGCTGCTACGTTACCTGTGTCTTTAAGAGCTTGGGTTTTGCTCGAGGAATTGCAAAATAAATTGTTTAAAATTCTGTAGGATTGTGTCAGGTTTGTAAAAATATGAAATTTTAAGAAAGGAAACTATAAATAAATATCTGTTCAGTGTCCGAACGAAATTAGCTCCGCAAACCCTGTGTACGTGCACATCTGTGGTCGTTCTGGTTTGTGTATTTTGAGGGAAAGCTACTGGGACAATGTATGATACAGTCCTGTCTAGTCTGGGTCTGATAGTTGCCAAGCAACCTGTTTTCATCGGAGTATTTGTGCTCGGTGTTCTTTGCCCAGGAGAGGTGTCGGATATTTAGGATGCAATAATACCGTCATGTCTTATCTCGGAATATTGATGCTGGCATTGTTCATTATTGAGGTCCAGGCAGTGATCCAGGTTCGTGGCTCATTAGCCGGCTGTTTCATGAAAGTTTTGAATTTTTGAATTGTCAGGGGAATAATTGATTTACACATTATGTGTGTTTGTTTTATCCTAGAGTAGAAATATTTGTACTGTCAGATATTCACCTCTCATCCTTGTTTTGTTGTGGTGATTTATTGATTTATTTCTTCTCTGTTTCAGGAAACGAGGAATAGAAGTCGTGCAGGTAAGATGTTGATCTGACTCTCACTTCTCGTCGTCATAGAACCCAATCTCTTGTTTTTGTTGTTGTTGTTGTTGTCTTTTGTCCACATTCTGACTCTTGTGGTGGGGATCCGGCCACATCAGACACCACATGTACATTCTTTTACCCTCATTTAAACTCAAAACTACTGTGAGTTTGGCTCCTCCTACAAACCTTCACAGACTTGGTGTTTTCAGTCTCCAAACAGCATCAGTCACAGTCTTACCAGAACACCCAGCCTCAGCTCTACTGGATGTCTGAAATTAGTTTGTGTACGTGTGTGTGTGTTTGGAAGACCAAAATACTGTGTTTACTACCATGTAAAATCCACACAAATGCAACAAACTGCATGTTGGTTTTAGTAATATTTTAATAAGCCACATAACTCGGACAAAAAACAGTGAGTTTTTGTAAAAAATTAGGTGTAGATTGGGCCGGACCAGTACAACCGTAACATAATTAACTATAAATAACTATAATAAGTCCATGTTTTTTCTCTCTGCTTTCATGTGAAGAAGTTTATTATTATTAAGTAATTTCACATAAAAAAAAATTAACAAAAAAATTACCTGAATATGAAATGTTAGTGAGTTTTTTTTTAATTTTATTTTCAAAATTCATCAAGGTGGCCAGATTGAACATCTGGGCGTGCCAGGTTTTGGCCCTCGGGCCGTATGTTTGCCACCTTTGGATTAGATGAAGCTCATCTATATTCGTGTATGTGCATGTATGAGTACAGCGCAGCACTAACAATTGTCACTAAGTCCTGGGAGATCAGCGCCGCAAAGTACCTGTCACTTAAAGTGGTTCCTGCAATTGACAGGCAAATGACTCCATCCGTGTCTCTGTTCTGAGGCCGTCTCCTGTCTTCACATGAGGGTCTTTTTTCCCCCCGTCCCACTTTGAGGTTATTATTTTCCTCTCTTTATCGGCTCACCCCAGAAAAAGCCCTGTCGTGGGAATAGTCCCAAAGTAAGCACGGCTTTGTTTCTGGCTGTGCTTTTAGCATTCTCTGGGGAGAAAGTAGATCTTTACAGACCATCTGCTGAGTGCACTCCACAACTTGAACACAACTCCAGTCTTCAGTGTCTTTTATCGCAGATTTACCTGTTCCAATAGTGCAGCTTTTTTTGTTTGTTTGTTTTGTTAGTTTAAACCAGTTAATTTCGACTCAACACGTTGAGTGAGGTGTTTATCCGTTCTCTCTGGTTATTCCACAGCCTGGGTTCTACTCAATGCCAGTCCGTGCCCGCACTGTAATGACCGTATCACAAGTGAACATAATAGCGGCCTTTGTAACGTGTTGGCCTTGTTATACAAGTCTGTGTACAAAGCCGTCTTCTCCTATTGCGAGAGTTGAGTCAGAACATGAGATGACTTTACAATAAAACTGTTATTTCACACAGTTTTGTTTAATAGTCCTTTAAAGGTTCAAAGATGCAGAAAAAAAGTGTTTTTAATTAATTTGACAGAAACATCATTAAGTATAATTTTAGTGATGGTTTACATTTTTTCTGAAATATTTTTTCCCTCAAAGTCAGCCCGTTGTCATTGACATTAGGATCTGAACTTCTGAAGCCCTGTTGGATTAGAATTAGACATTTATATTGTTAAATTCAAAGTATTTCCCTGACACTGGGCTCATCACAGTCTTTATATGTTGTTTCGCAGCCAACATTTTCTTTCCTTGAGCTCAAATTCAACGCTTGTTTTATCTCCTGCAGCCAGTTTACTTATTTAACCTTGCCCTTGTGGTTGGAGTAAACCAACTGATGCAGTGATAACACCTGAAGTCTGTTCTACCAAGGACAAATAAATATTACTAATGACAACTGACCATGACTTTAACCGTTTACTCTAAAGAGATACGATAAAAGACTTGGAACAGTTTATTCAAAAAACACTGTGACTGTGGTTGATTCATTGATTCATTTGGGATCATCTAGAGCAGTGGTCCCAAAACCCGGGCCACGGACCGGCACCGGTCGGTGGGTCAGTTGGTACCAGGAATAACTTAGATTATTTCACGTTTTATTTATGATGTGTGTGACAGATTCATGATAAATCCGACAGCCCTGGGCAGCTTATGTAATATTTCACGAGTGACAGAACTGGAAAAGAACATGCAGTTTTTGTGAACTCCTCCTATGGCATCTCAGCTTCATCATCCATGTGATTTCTGCCTCATTTTTTATCAGTATTGAACCTTTAGGCCTGATCCCATGACACCCATCCTCCCTGAGCTCTGTTTGTTGGCCGCTCTGTGTCATGGCATCAGATAATGTTAACCTGCCAGTCTCAGCCGTGAGGCCGATATTCACTCTGAGAGAATCGCACCATCACGTCGAATGGCCCTTTGTTGAGTGCACATCCAAAGAACATTATTAGGTTATTATTCTTTATCATGTGAGTGCCTCGCTGCAGCGTGTCAGTGGTGTCTCACCCACTCTACAGCAGTCCATTATCCATCTGTCAGTGCGTGAAGGAACGTGTGGGAGTGTTTTTAAAGAGAATTGAAGTTTAGAGTGGATGAAACATGTTCGTCAGTCCAACCATATCGTTGCTACACTGCCTGTTCTACCTCTGTCCTTTCTGGATTCACTCCATTGTGGTTAAGTTCAGACGACATGTATTTTCCTGTTTCAACAATGCCAGACAATCCTTGTTGTCTGTGAGAGCCTGACAGAGAGTGACTCCAATAGTAATAATATGAAGGCTTCTCTGTTCTGACTTCCTGTGTGACTATCAGTTGATTTTATTTCTCTGCTAGACATTTGATAATTCATTATTTTGACAATTATTAAGTTATTATTTATTTATTATTAATCTATGCAAACGCAGTGGCTCGATTTTATTCAGGTTAAGTTCACAGTCTTAACCATAAATACAGTGGTACTAATAATTGGCATAATCATTTCTTTCAGTGTTTCGGTTTCAGCCAAAAATATCCCACCTAGTGTCTGGAGGTTATCATTCAAGCATTACAGCAGAGGTACATTTATGTCCATGTGCGTGCCGTATTCCATTGGAAGCCTCTCACGCCCACCCCCCACACCCCGCCCCACTGTTTGGGAAGTACAGATTTTAAACCCTTATCGGGTGGAAAACTCCCATTTAAAAACACTCTGAAGTGCATTTTTTTATCTTGTGCGTTCCCTAGTGGCAGCTGATGCACCCATAGGGGAGCACGCACCATACTTTGGAAATCCCTGTCATGGGGATATCTCTAAGACTTTCCCACTCCAAGACTCCAGGAGGAGCTCATCAACTTATCAAACATACTTGCTCAGTTTGACATTGTGTGTGTATAGTTGATATTATTGACTGGATTTAACTAATTAACTAAGTAACTAGTGTAGTCTAGACTTGTGAACCGTGGTGTTGCTTCATATTCATGTGTGGTCTTATCAGGCCACTCCTTACACGAATGCCACGGCAGCTTCGGTTTATCTCCAAAGACATGTGTTTCTCTTACACTAGGGTGTAAAGTGCCACACGGCCTACATGATAAATCATTCACCACCTCTGCCTGCACTCAACACACACTCTCCTGCACTGGGTGAGGCTGACAACAAAGCAAATCCAGGTGAGACTCGATCCAGCTGACAGCAGCGAGGATGAAACGGCCAAAAGAAAAAAGCAGAGTCACGTACACAAAACAGGCTGAGATTTAAAAAAAACAAAAAACAAACTCAAGTCCACCATAAGCTTTGTGTCCACTGTTAGCTTAGACTTAACTCTTCTTAGATTTCCCAGAGCTAAAGCTCAGTTGTAGTTGGTGCCACAGTACATCAAAGCTCAAAATATATTGACTTTGGCCTTTGACCTTCTTTTTTTTCATGTCTGCTGTCCATCCCTGTTGCTGCTAGCCCCGAGTCCCAGAGGGACACACAAAGACATCAGCCGACATTTCTCCTTTTAGCGTTTAGCGAGACATAAGTGGATAAACTGCTGGGGTTTTGGATGATCTTTAAAGTAAGGTCACTGTAGGCGCAGAGGGAGAGGAGAGCTCCGTCCCTGACGTTGCGTCTTTGCCAGTGGGTGGTGACCCCCATGATGTAGGTTTCTGTTTTCGTTGAGGGACCAGGCCATATTGTGTAAACAAGAGATTAAAAGCATTGCTTCAGTGGAATACATACTCAGATTCCCATCCACCCGGCTCCGTCCTGCCGTCAGGAAAAAAGCAATTGTCTTAGTTCCTAGCAGTGGACGTCCGTCTCTCCATGGCTGAGGTTCGGTCTCCCCCCTGAGTCCCCCACAGCCTGGCACTTTAGACAGGGTAGTAAAATAGACTCTTTTTTTTTTTTTAGTTCTGTCAACAGCCTTGTTTACAGCTTTGTTTTCCAAACCCTTGCTTACACATACTCTGGGTTTAAAAAATGTTGCTTTTATGTGTCAGTCAGGGTAAAAAACTAAACTGAAAACTTAAAATACTTAACCTCCGTGGCTTTGTTACGTCCTAGCATCTTGTGTAAGCATGTTACTTTTGTAAGACCTGCTTCTACAAGCAGAAGAAATGGCGTGTAATGGAAAACGTCCTACAGCTTTGTCAAAAAAGACAGGTTTGTGTAGGATAATGTGGAATATAGTCTTAACAGTAAAGATTGAAGATGATGTTCTGTGTTTGTTCTCTAGTGGAACCCTGCGTAACATGATGATGAACTCAAACTCCAGACATGGGAATCAATCTGTGATGCATTTTAATGTGACCATTTTATTTTTCATTTTATTGTTAAATCAATGAGTTGTTTTACACTGGTACTAATTAGAACGGTTTTTATAGTAAAACTTTTATGTACATATATATATATATATATATATTCCAAGACCCTGTTAGTAAAAATGACACCTTGATCATGATCATGAAATCCAGCCCCAAACCACCTTGGAGCCTCTTGGTCTTTGCTGATGTACCGGTCATCCATTGGGTTTTTCTTCTCTAAAATACTGATTTGGAAAATAAGATTTGGATCATAGAAATTCCACATGAATCTCAAGCCAAGATCTAAGAATTGTTCGGTGGAGACTCTCTAGGCTTTTCGGCGAGGCTTCAGTAAACCCTAACAAAGACGAAAGCTCAAGCGACATTTGTCGCAACTTATTTTTTGTTAATTTCAGGAAACTGCTCTGAAATATTGATGAGGTTAAGAATAGTTTTTGGTTTTCTCCTCAACTTATTCTATTGTCTTTCCACCACAACCATATATTTTAATTTCACCGATAAGAGATTTTTAAAATTTTATACTCATTTTTTGACCTTCAAACTGACTAATATTGGAGCTTTCCAGTAGTTTAATAGTAAAGTTGTCAAGACTGGTAAAATAACCAGGAAATGTGTATAACATCTTCTAACTCGAGTGTGTGTAGATGCACCATAGGGTTGGACACCGATCAGAAATCCTCACTGTGTAGGTGGAAATTACTGACTGACAAACTGCACTGATGGTAAATTATTGAAAAGATACAAGCGTTACTGATTACGTTAAACAATATTTCTAAGAAAAGTTTATCAGGTCTGAGTCAAGACCTTATCAACAGGTTATTCAACATTTAGTACAGTGGGTAAATCACTTAGAGCTGGAACATTTATTTTTCTAAACAAGGTAATTAGTCACCCATCTGTCCAAAATCTCAGAATCATTAACTAGCAGGTAATGGGTTCGTCTGTGGGCCACCCTAAAGCACCTGGAGCTCTGCTGAGTTGAACAGTTCTTGCATTGATCCCCGCCCGTGTGAGTAAAGGGTATTGCGTATTGTCTGAACAGCACAAAGACGGCCTTTCTTTCCTGGCAATGGCTTATTTGAACAGGTGTTGCTGAATATTATCTTTGTGTGTAATGATCAGGTGATGTCTATCTGCTGATCATCTTATGAGTTAGTGTACAACCACATTATGCAACAGCATGGCCCCACCACAGATTCTAAGTGTTAGCGTGTTTGCTTTGGTTTTGGCCACACCTTGTCTTTTTTATTTTTTATTTTTTTATTTATTTATTTATTTTTGCTGCAATTAACCACAAATGAATCATGGTGTAATATTGATGTATGTCATTTGTCGAATACGTGTGGTAAACATGTGATGACTCGTATAATAAATCTAAGCCTAGCCAAATATTCCTAATGAGTTTGTCTAGCATTATACTTTTTACACAGGCCATTTTTTTTCATTTCACTTCCTCTTAGTAAAGTTGATCTTTACTTTACTCCCTCTGTTACTTGCCTCAGACTAAAGCCCTCTTTTGAAATGGACTTGTTTATAATTCAACACACTCACCCACATGAAAGGTATTACCTCATGAAAAGCTGATTGGATGAACTTCTTCCAGTTATACTTAGGTTATGGTAAAGTTCAAGGAACTGCTAATGTAATATTTTTTCCATAGGTTTGTTCTGATTCCCAGTAGAGTAGAGTAGGATGACCAGTTAAAGTTATAGATAAAGATGATTTCCTTTAAGTAGCAGTAATGAAATTCTCCACCTATACCGATGACATTTTGATTTATTTATCACTTAAATGTTGTTATTAAAGAATTAAACCTATTTTTAGCATCGTCATGTGTACCAGCTTAAGTGTACAAGCCAAACCTGTTAACACTTTAATCTTTGACCCATGGTCTTTCTTCTCCCTCCTCAGCTGGACCTTAGCCAGCCCCTGGAGGACCAGGGTCCACTGGACGTCATCATTCACAAGTTGACGGACCTCATCCTTGAAGCAGACCAGAATGATTCCCAGGCCATGCTGCTGGTGCAAAGAGTACAGGTGAGCACCAATGGTTTTGTTTTGCATTTCATTCCTCGCTCCAGTTCATACATTCCATAGCCACAATTGTTTGGGACATTGTCAAACTTTGTCATGAAATGGAAGTTTTTAAAGCGGCTTGTGTACGTAAACAGTCATAGTCAAAAGAAAACAGATGCATTATCAACAGCTCGAACAGTCCTTCACCACAGTTGAACACTTTTCTATAACGTGTTGTTTAGAGTACGATCTAGTGGCTGACTTTTCTCTGGCAGGACTCCCCCAGATCAGTCCCCTCTCACCTGCAGACTATCTTGTCCACAAACTTAAAATACATGATTCCTTGTTATGAAGAACAGAGGGAAAACACTAGGGGGCAGAAGATAGAGCCCTGTGGTGCTCCTGGGTTTAGAATCTCAGATTACGATGCATAATTGTCATATGAGGACAACATATAGGAAGGTCAGTCACCCTGTCACATACTGCCTGGAACAATCCCATATCCAGGCCACAGAGCACCGTGGTGTTGAATGCTCAGCTGTAATATACGGATATCATTGTCACATAGGTGTCTGTTAAATCCTTCTGTGTCACAGAGGAGTAAAGTGACACAACATTTGCTTCTCCAAAGACAGTGTGTGAGTTGGATTGTGGATGGGGTAATCATGGGACATGTGAATGATGTTTTGTTCTCTCTCTTCTCTCTCTCTCTCTCTCTCTTAATGACTCATAAAGGCTGTCATTATCACAAGCATGCGATGGAGTCGATATGTTATTAACTAATCGAGAAGTTAACAACTACAGAATGTCAGTGTGGGGCAGCCGTTAAAGCAGCAGCAGAATCTGGTCAGTATTTATACTTGACCATATTTGGACACTGTGGTGGAAGATGAAAAATAAATGAGGACACCTTTGTTTACAATCAAGTGTGCAGAATCAGCACTTACAGCCTAGGGTTGGGATGTTAATAGTTTGAAGATGTTAAAAAATTCAACAGATTCATCTGTTATTAGAGTTTACCCTCATACATTCTTTAAACCAGTACTGTAATAAAATAGGAAAACGGTTCAGGCAAGGAAATATGAATGAATGTGTATCGTCTTCCTACAGTCACCTAAGTTCCCGGCACAGTTTTCACACCAGAATGTGTATCGTCTTCCTACAGTCACCTCAGTGAAGTCATTGAGTCAAATGACAGAACTCACAGTTCCCGGCACAGTTTTCACACCAAATTCCCCTCCTGACAAAACTAAGGAAAGAAGAAAAAGTGACAGTGTTTGCAGCCGCAAAAGCTCCCAGTTTAGTTTTTTTACATTGAATTAAGAAAACTTTAAAAAGTACTTTTAAAAGAAACCCTCAGTTCAGATTACATTTGGACCATTTTTGTCAACACTGTTCACACCAACACTGCTGTCCTCTGAGCTGTAAACCTTGGACTCTTATTAATGCCACACTTAATAACACAGCTGCGATCATTAATAACCCTTTGTGTGGTAAAACAGTTTTGACTTCCTCACAAAATTGTTCTAAATTTAAAACAAACTGTCTGGCAGGGACGCACTGTGGTGATTCACTGTCCTGAGGCATGAGCCGACGTGCACAACAGGTGTGGGACAAATATAATTAGCGTTCTTATGATTGTGTTTGAATGATGATGAAGATCAGCAGTAGTTTACAAAGTATGCTGGGAATTATGAGGCTTAAAGACGGTGATGTATTTATTACTATTTTTATTAATATACAGTTTAGACTCGGTGTGTTTGTGTGAATCTGGTGATGCGACGAAGTGTCGCAATACAGAGGCAACGATATGATGTATTGCGATATTCAGTGTTTCCTTTCTATATCACGGTTCTACGTTTGCTCTCTGAGTACATCGCAGATTTTTAGCTATATTGTGAAATATAGCAAAAAATAAACTAAAAGACATTATAAAATAAATATATATGAAAGCTTTGGCTTTAAAAATGTGGATTCTCCTTTTGAAGTTGAGATAAACGCATTTGCGTACAATCGCTGGTGGTTTTGTTTACCTAGATGAGATCGTACACAGCATACTATTGGCTAATACAGTTTGTACTCGGTGTACTATTGGCTAATTGATCATGCTCTTCTGTTCCTCACTCTGATTGTCTCATACATCGTAGCATCTCCCTTTGTCTCTCTGTCAATTTCTGGTTCACTTTGCTCTGCGTCGCCGTTCTACAACTCTTCTGTGCATATTATGACGGTTGGGGAATAAATGGTAAATCTTCTGGTATAATGTTCTACTTTTGTTTTGTTGTTCTTGACGGTTCTTGGGTCCCTTGAACGCACCACGTTGTGGCGCACGTGTGCAGTGTGTTCTGTTCCTTGTGTTGGAGACGCCTGGTTTAGTTTAGTGCTGGCCAAGTTCTGCTCCGAGCGGTTTGGCGTGCGCTGTGGCCGACAACAGTGCTGATTTCAGGTGAGATAATAAACCGCTTTCTGATCCAATAAAAGCTGCCTCTGTCTTGATCTACCGCTCTGTTACGATATAATAAGATCATTTTTCCCATTTCACTGTGGGTCTTGGAACGCAACTACCACGATAGGAGAGGGATCACTGTACTGCGATAAATAAAAGCAAAATACAACGAACAAACGCCATGAAGGCTTGCATTTTAATTGTAAATAAAAAAATTGATACGTTGCAGTAGAATTCTGATGCAGTATTGTGAAACAAAATATACTTTTAATTGTAAATAAAAAAATTGATACATTGCAGTAGAATTGTGATGCAGTATCGTGAAACAAAATATACTGATATTTCATGGTATCAATATTTTCTTCTACTCAAAGTACAAAGTAAAGACCTTTGTGTATTATTTGTGCTTGGCAGATTTTTGCTGATGTGTTAAATCTAATCAGTCTGGGTGTGGTTGGTGTAATTGCTAAGAATCACATTATTCCAGAAAGTGTCTCCAGGAAATCACCAGACCGTTTGATTACAGTTGCCCTTTAGTTCCCTTCAGTTCCAAAAGGCACTTATTCCATGTCAGGGCAAGGCGTTTGTTTGCATGCTACGTGTGTATTATCAAGGTTGATTCACGAAAAGCAAATTTTCCATTGTACGTGTTTGATACTTGACGTCCGGCGTTGCTGTGTGTGTTTAGTCTCATGCAAACGTTTATGACAGCAGAGTGTGTGCTGTTTTATAGAGCTGTGATGTGAGCAGGCAGGGTGTTTGTGTAACGTACAGCACGGCCAGCTCCGCATGACAACCTGCCTGAGTCAGTGAAAACTGAACGGAAGGAAGCCTCAGCAGATTATTCCAAAGAGCCGAGTTGGGAATGTGGAGAGGATGGAGAGCTGCAAGAATGTGAAGTCTTGTGGGGATGTGACAGAGCGATGAGTGGGAGGTCTCATTAGTTTATATTATATACAGAAAAAGGGGCTAATGATGAAACGTGTGCTTCTGTGTTCCAGGAGTACATTGATGCCCACCCTGAGACCATCGTTCTGGACCCTCTTCCAGCCATCCGAACTCTGCTGGACCGCTGCAAGTCCTATCAGCTCATCCACAGGATAGAGAACTGTATGCAAGGTGAGATGTGGTCAGAAGGAGTTTTGTGAAAAAGAAGAAACAAAACATATATTACATATAATTGATTTTAGATCACTGCCAAATATTTTTCAGTCAGAAATAGAAACATATAAAGCAGGGGTCACCAACTATATTTGTCAGATGGCCAGAGGTGTTCTGGACAGACACAGATATGAAATTTAAAAAATCACGTTTTTATCTTAGATTATTATTTGATATTAATTTTGGAATCCAGTGACGGATCGGATTGCATGTTTCTGTGGCCCAGATTTGGCCCTGTGGGCCACCAGTTGATGATCACTGATATAAAGCATCAAATTCAATGGTTCTTTTTACCTGCTAGCATAGATACCATGTTCAGCATCAAGAATGTTGAACACCCAGGGTGAGAGTTGGCCAATGAATTTCACTTGTGCAAATTCCTCAAATGTATGAACCTCACCTACATCACTCAGTCACTGAGGGACAGACTGATGGGTATTTTGTGGTGTAGTGCTTGGCTTTTTTGATTTCTATACCTGGCGGTGCTGCGACTTCCCCTCTATGAGTTACGTAAAGTTCACTTCTCAGTAGTTCTCTACTGAATATATGCAGCGTTGTTTGTCGTCGGTGTCATTTTTGCACATTGTTTCCAGGCCTTCCTCTGTCAGTGGAACAGGTACACGGTGTCATGGGTACTAGTAAAGTAAACACCATTATTGGTCCCCTTTACTACCGTATGAAAGCAGAGGATGTTTGAAACAATAC